GGGAAACCGATGGTTACATCCCATAGTTCTCGTGAAATTTAGATTGGATTCTTCCAATTCGTCACTTTTAACAAGCAGAATTGAAGCGAGCAACTATTTGAACTCCAGAGTGGGTATGTGGTATCATACAAAATTGAAGGAAAATCATACGTTTTCGCCCATCTCAAGTAACAGATGTTTATGAGTTTTATGCGCACATTTACGTAGTCTTAATTGAGTCAGAAATTCGCGTGTATGTCACGATATTGATGTGAATAACGCGCAATTGTAATGATCTTAAAAATTCGCCAGGAACACGACGTATTTGCCGTGATACCGTGGTGATTATCGTGTAATTTCTAATTTGTTTTACAAAATCCCTGGAGAAATCAAGTTTTCTCCGCTATGTAGATGACAAACCCGCCATTGCTGTGAATTAAACGAAACCGCTGGCTAAGTTCCGTAATTTTCGCGGCTGAAACTCACCAGCTAACTTCAATTGAACATTGAACTGACAAAAGTAACAAATCTTCATGAAAATAACCAACTTTTGATTGGGTATTTTTTATTATTATAAATATCATGTGAGCTTATTGCAGAACGGACCAAAATAGCAGCATACTACTAATCTCTACTTTTTAATCAAACCAGCGCGTCTCGCCAATTTTGAAATAGTAGATAATAATTCAGAAACACAATTAGTAACTGATCACTAATCACAGTGATTGCTGATGGTGGGGGTTTTCCTGTGCGTAGCACGGGTTTCCTGCTAGTTATTAATAAATATTACTGATTGGTGTGGTATATCTCCAACTCATTTTCAAAACGTTTTAATTCTCTTTCCGATCAGCATCCTCAATTCATTTCAAAACGTTTTGAATATAAATCGAACCAGTGTCGCTGAAGTTTTAGAAAAATGTTTTCAACACATCTCCAACACGTTCTCAGAAACTTCCAATTTCGAAGTGTTTGGTGAAATGTTTTCGAAATATTTTGAAAATGTTTCGAATGCAATCTACAGCTTGTTTCAAGCAACTTCTCAAAATGCTGTCAGATACTTTTCCTGCACGACTCAACAACACCTCCCAGCAACCTGTCTGACACATTTTGGATTTGTTTTCAATTAAAATTAAATATAATGTCTTTGAAACCTTTTTGAATATTTTGTTCGAATTTGTACGTCACTTAACAATGTTTTTGACACGTTTTAGAAATGTTTCATTGAATAACAAAGACACATTTCTAGGACCTTTCTAAAACTTTTCCTACCTAGTTCAAACTGAATCCACCAGAGGGCGTTGAAGTTTAATTTTTCAATTTTACCAAATTTCAGCTTAATTTTTCGTCTCAAGCTATACTTTTTGGACATTTAATTATGTGGAGGTTATTAACACGGTTAATTCCTTGTATGAATCGAGTTCATCTCCATAAAAGCTCATAAGTTATGGATTATCTAGAATATTGAAACCGTACATCGTGCTTTGCGTATACTTTTCTAAAGTGAAGGTGTTCTAATCCCTCTGATAGGTAAATAATGATGAAGTGTAACGATTCAGCCCTCATGAATGGTTGGTATCAAGGGATGCCTGCTGTGATGGTTCTAACTCCACAGCGACATTAGTTAGAACAAATGTCTGAAAATTTTTGATACTTATAGCCTCAGTGCCGATTCCTCTCTGAGATGTGTTGAAAAGGTATGAGAAACATCTACCGGACGTATCTGTGAAACGAAATTTAGGGGTGACATAGAGTTGTTTCAGAAACCTTCTCAAAACCGTCGGGACACATGATATGTTTTCAAGATGTTTCAACAAACCACTGAAAGGTTTTGAAAACATTTTTGAAACGTTTCGACGATACAAAGGAATGTCATGCCTCTCACCGAAATGTTTCAAGAATGTGTCAGATATATCTCTGCGACGAATTTGTGGTGCCGATGTACCTCACTGAGATGTGTTGTAAAGGTATGAGAAACATCTATCGGACGTATCTGTGAAACAAAATTTAGGGGTGACATAGAGTTGTTTTAGAAACCTTTTCAAAACCGTCTGGACACATGATATGTTTTCAAGATGTTTCATGGAAATGTTTTAAGGAAATTTTTTCGGATCAATGACACATTTTAAAAACATCTTCAATCTGACCTGTGCTACCAGGGTAGTTGTCTCCGAACAAAATACGACTCCTTTTATCATAGCAACTTATTTTTGCACAAATGCCCAGGTCCAGAGGACGAAAACCCCGAGTACCTAGACGACTCCTCCCCGTCGGAAGACAAAGAAGACCACGACGCGGAAGTCACCCCTCCAGCCCACCACCGCCCCGGCGACAACCGGCGACAGATCCAACCACCCCACCTCCCCAACGCCCAGCCTCCGCGCCCCAGACCCGCCTACTCCCAGATCTCCGTCGACAGCTCGATGCCCGCCCTGCCGACCCCGTACCGGGAGCCGGCGGTTCCTCCCCGCGAGGAGGAGGGGCGGGACCGGGCGAGCTGGATGCCGAGGCCGCCTCCTTCGTCGACGAAGCGGAGGCAGAGGATCAAGGCCAAGACCCAGGTCAAGGGGAGGGAAACTGGGGGTGGGGAGTTTGTGGAGTACGCGGTGGACCCGGTGGAGTCCATGAGTGGATCCGCTGCCAAAAAGAGGGTGGAGCTACGATCGGGGGATGCGACGAGATCCAGTCCGCAGGTATCGGTTGGAGAGTACCAGGCCTCAGTCTCGGTAAGTTATCGTGTTCAGTGATTTTAACCGACATATTTTCGCAAGTTCTTCTTGTTCTGTAACCTAAACAGACCCATGTAGCCGGAATCGATCAGGAATGCTACCGTGCTAAGGAAAAACGCCGTATGAGCCCTAAGGCGTTGCAAAATTTCCCTTGATATAACATGAATTCCCCAGCAAATTTATGAATATTTTTCCTCGAAATTTTCAAGAACTTCGGGTGAAATTGCGAACAAAATTATCTGAAAAATTGGAAAAAAAAATATCCATAAGTTACTGGGAAGTTCGTGTTTTATCAAAGGAAATTTGGCAACGCCTGAAAGTTTACACGTAGTTTTTCCTCAGCAAGGCAGAATGGACCCTGCAACAGAGCAACAGTGCTCGTGCTCTCCTCATAATGGTATATAGAGTAAACTATATTTTTTGTCTTACCTCGGAAAAATCACGGCAGATTCGAAACTATTCATATTAATTTAGAAAGTTAAAAAAGTTAGATTTGAGGCGTTTCGGGTATCGGCCCATCATCAATGCTAGAGTCGCGATCTAGCATTGATGATGGGCCGATGCCCGAAACGCGTTTGCAAAAAAGAATATTAAAACGTGCAAGTGAGTTACCAATTATAACTTTTTTAACTTTTTCAATTATTTCTTGTGCGGTAAAAGCTCCCCTCCAAAGTATTTCATATTAATATACCCGCACACGATAGGCAGTGGGAAACTAGGAACGTCGCATAATGAGGGTTGAATGTTTTTCGTCTCACCGTCGATGATGAGAAAATGTGTCACCATGCGCACGCAATGGAATGTAATATCAGCGCGCGGCAATCGTGATCTTCTGCCATCGAGTCGAAGCGATGCTGTTGCAGGCGCTCTGAGCAACTATTCCACCTCGGAGGTATTGCACAGTATCAGATGAAAATGAAGGCGCACTAGGGTATGTGAATTATATGGTATCATTTACCACCGTTCATTATGGTCCAAAACTCAAGAATAGGAAGAAATAAGTCGGATAATGACTGAAAGATTACAAAAGTTTCGTGACAGTTGTAATTTGCGTCGCTAATTTCGAATTTGATGTCAAATTGCCTACATTTTAACACCCTGACCTATGAATTGTGGGCAAATTTAAGGCAAGCTGCGGCACGACGTGCTGCCAGCTTGAAACGCGCACCGACGCCTACAAACCTAAGGGGATACTTCAAACATTGCGCGATGCGTGAAGTATCCCCTTAGGTTTGTAGGCGTCAGTGCGCCGCGGTTCGCGCTAGTAGCACGCCGCCGTGTGGCGTGCGGAGTCCATTTTTATCGTGTTCTCCTGTTTCGATTTTTGGTAATTTGGTATCAGGTGATACTTTTGGACTGGCAACTTGAATTTCAACTCGAAATTTCAAAACTCGAAATTTCGAGTTGAAATTCAAGTTGATGAAAAATCAGTATCTGAAAGTAGGTAAGAACGAAAACACACCAACTCGGACATTTTTAAACGCTTAATGCTCTGTCATCAAACATGGTGTATCGATTTCAACTTGGTGCTTTACAAAGTCTCTAAGTACTTGTCCTTTGACACCAACAAGGTTTTTCTTAAACTAACTTCTTCGCCCGCTGCGCAGTTTTAGGTGCTACCTAAACAATTTCTTTTTCCGAGTTGGTGTGTTTTCGCACTCACTGATTCAAATAGGATCCCTCCATATTCTTTTATTCTCTATTGCTTTGTCTATCAATTTCAATAATTAGCCCGCTGCCGTTCTTCCCTAGCACGGCAGCGTAGTTGAATTCGGTAAGAAACCCCACGCTGACGTCATCAGAGACTTTCGGTTGATTTTTCGCAGCAATCCATGGAGCTTGCCAATTTTCCTGACGGTGGGACACCCCGGAGGCGGACCCTGGAGGCGGACGTGACGTCAGAAAACGGTTGGATCGACAGCGATTTCCTGGAGGGGCCACGAGGCTCAAGAGGAAAGTTCAACTGCAGCCAACTGAGGGAGGCCCCGATGAACTGGACCCCGGAGCAACTCCGAGAGTGGCAGAGCAGATCCAGAGACTCGCTCGCATTGGTACATATTTTATTAAGTGAGTTCCAAACAATGACTATCACACGAATACCTATCTTTAAGGGCAGTGTCCATTCTCAGAGATCAATGGACCACTAGACAAGGTACGAATTTAAGCAATCTGATACAAGTTTCTTAACCAGAATTTCACGTAAAACACGATTCGCACAACGAAAATTACTGAAACCAACTCCTAATGAAGATATTAACGTTTTTATTTCACATTTGTTACGAGGAATTTGAACTGCCCGCTCACAAGAAACTCAAAGCTCTACGTGAGTCAAATCGCGCACTACAACGGTTTCAGCAAGCTTCTCAATCGAGCAATGTTCATTTCCCATCGTGTCGTTCAAACTATAAGCAATTTTCTGTGGCTGAGCCAAAGCGTCAAGACTGAGGTTGCCAGATTTTTAAATCGCAGAGACTATCGTGATAATGTTTAGCGCGCCATGAGAATCACGTAGAGCATTGAGTTTTAATGAGCGGGTGGTTTCAATTCACGCATCAGGAATCGTTAAATATATTTGTAAGGAGTTGATTTCGGTAATTTCTGTTGTGCGCATCGTGTTTTTTGTGAAATTTTACTTAAGAAACATGTATCAGAACGCTAAAATTCGTACCTTGTCTAGTGGTCCATTATTGGTGGTCGTGGTGGTCTGCGCTACGAAAGAACGCCGTATGTGAATTTTTCCTGGTAAAAGCGCAATTACCGCGGCAAAATCTGGCAGCATCTAAATTTAGGTACGTTCCTTCGCGCGGGAGATGAAAATATGACCGAACTTTTTTTTCCGAGTACAACTGAACTTTTTTTTCGGTGCCATATTAAGATTCTTAAATATGGGTGAAGTGGCTTCCAAACAGTGTTCGAAACTCACCTTTGACTTTTAGGAACCATGTGACGCATCAAGCCCGATTTTTAGGCCCCATTGAAAGTTTTTTAGGGGCAAAATTGACTTTTTGCCTATAAATTACGGCGTATTAGTGAAAGTTAGACGCAAGATGTTTTCGTAACAGAAGTAGTAAGTAGCTGTAACTTGGGGAAGACAAAAGCACTAAGAATAAAATCGTGAAGAATAGAAAAAGCTTTCACTTGTGTTGAAAATTCTGAGTTTTTTCAATTCAGATAGATTTATTTTTCTTACTTTACGTGACTTCATATGAAAATTCAGATTTTCAGGGGCCACGTTGGCGCAGAGCCTTCATTTTTTAGGCGCCATGGCCGATTTTTTAGGCGAATTTCGCGCGTTGGCACCTGTGAGTTTCGAACACTGCTTCCAAAATGCGGGTTTGATTTCAGATCTCGCGTTGTGGCGGCAGAGTTATCGGCAGTCGAACGAAGGACGGGGTGCTGCGTTACCGGCTCACGTTGACGGACTTACCGGTGCCGCCGGAGAAACCGAGCGTCCCCGCGGAATTGGTTGACACCCGCACGGTTTTCGGCCAAGAAACGCCCGATGACTCCCGCTTCGTCGACGAACTTATCGAGGTCCAGCAGGCCTATCGCCGTCTCCACCAGGCTGTTGAGTTTGACGTCAAATCTAAGGTATGGTAAACCCCAGAGACATTACTGCCGTGCTAAGAAAGAACACCATATGAGCCCTCAGGCCTTGCCATATTTCCTTCGATAAAAACCGAATTTACTAGGTAAATTGTGAATATTTCCCCCCAAAATTTTCAGACAATGGACCACTAGACAAGGTACGAATTTCAGCATTCTGATACATGTTTCGTAACTAAAATTTAACGTAGAACGCGATGCGCACAACAAAAATTACCGCAATTAACTCCTTACGAAGATATTTAATGATTCTAGATGCGTGAATTCAAACCACCCGCTCATGAAAACTCAATGCTCTACGTGATTCACATCGCGCGCTAAACGTTATCATGACAGTCTCTGCGATACACAAATCTGGCAACCTCGATCTTGACGCTTTGGCTCAGCTATAGCAAATTGCTAGTAGTTTGAACAACACGTGGTGGGCAATGAACATTGCTCGATTGAGAAGCTTTCTGAAACCGTTGTAACACGCGATTTGACTCACGTAGAGCTTCGAGTTTCTTGTGAGCAGGCAGTTCGAATTCCTCATAACCAATGTGAAATAAAAACGTTAATATCTTCGTTAGGAGTTGGTTTCAGTAATTTTCGTTGTGTGAATAGATTTTTACGAGAAATTCTGGTTAAGAAACATGTATCAGATTGCTTAAATTCGTACATTGTCTAGTGGTCCATGGTGAATATTTCCCCCAAAATTCTCAGACAATTTTGTTCGCAATTTAAATAAAATATATTTTCATAGTACATCTTTCAATAATATGTTTTCACTATAAATCTATTTTCATACAATTTTCCATTTCAGAAAAAAATTATGAAAGACACTGCGAACTCAGGTCATTAAACACTCCCAGAAAACAACTTTGTGTGTTCAAATTCTCCATTATTAAAATGCCTCTAGAAACCTCCAAAAGAGTCAGCGTGAGAATACAAATACGACGATGGAGCGCCTGCGCACATACAACTATTCGTTCTCTAAAGTTGCCCCAATTGCAGATGGGATTAGATGAAGGCGCTTTGGTTCGTCATTCTTGAGGCAGAGTATACATTCTGGACGTGGTAATTGATTAAAAAATTGAGCTACAAGCAAAGTAAACAAGTAAAATTTCAAACAGCATGTAGATGAGAAATAATATAAAACTCACAAGAAACAATAAAGCAAACGTTTCGACCGCCTACAAACTGCGATCTTCTCCAGTGCATTAGGAACAGCCAGTGGAATCATTATACAAAATAATAAAAAAATAATAATTTTTTTTTACAAAACTATATATTAGCAGACTACGCGATAATACTGTTTCTTGTAAGTTTTATATTATTTCTCATCTACATGTGGTTTGAAATATGCTTGTTTATCTTTGCTTGGTTCTCGATTTTTTAATCAATTACCATGCTCTATATCGACGGCGGAAGCCCGCAATCACATTTCTCGTTTGCGGTGTCTGAAAATCCCCACCTCCATGTTTTTCTTTTGACATCATTCCTTGAAGTTTTTGCAGACTTTTCTTCGCACAGAGAAGAAAAATCACGGCAGTTTTGAAAATTGCCGTTGAGTAATTTTCCGTTTAAAAACTATAGTATGACAGTAAGTCTGTGACGTCGCAAACCGAGTTACGTGATTGCCGACTCACACCGCAATATACAACTCAGCCAGCCAAATTTGGCAATAAAACGTAAACATTCCGGTTTTGATGTTTGATACTATCATTCAGGGCCGGATTAAGGGGGTGGTCACATGGGCCGCTGCCCATGGCGGCAAAATTTAGGGGGCGGCAAATTTTGCAATTTTTTTGAATGTAGGTATCAAAAAATAAGAGGGATACAATCGGATTCAGAAAATAAATTACAAACGAGAAAAGGCGACAAAATCTCTCATTTCCTGTGAGTAAAAGTATAGTAATTTCTAATTTTGTCGTCTTTTGGTGATACAAGAAACAACACCTTTAATTAGTCGAGTTAAGAGAGAAACCAAACACGCAATTTGACCTGGAACGGAGCGGTGCGGCGGTCGGCATGAAACACATGGCGCCTATAAGACTGCATGAATACTTCACGCATTGCGTCAAACACACTGCGGTCAGCAGCGGTCGGCGTGAAACGCATAGCGCCTACAAGACTGCATGAATACCTCACGCATTGTGCCAACACAGTGCGGTCGGCGCAGCTGTGGAAGTTAAAATTTTTAACCACATTTATGTTTGTTCTGTCATAATTTGTTCGTTATTTTTTATAAATGGAAGGCCTTGTCTAAACGGGGATGGGTTTACGGAACTAAACTTTTGTTAGTGTTGACAGGGCTTTTACAAAAAATGTGCCCAACGCGAGTAAACGCGTCTTATACACCCCTCCTCCACTGACACGTCCACTTGATGGTTTTTATAGATCGTATTCGACAGATCACACAGGTGAGATTATATTGATATCGATTGGTTCAATATGTAACCAAAGCCTTAAAATTTAATTTAGAAATCTGAGGTAACGGGTCTTATGTGATCGAATTGTTATTCTCTCGAGTACCAAATGGCAATGAAAGTGAAATGTTAAGAATTTTCTCATTTTCAGCTTTTCCAAATTAAATCCTAAAATTTTTGTTTGAGGTTATGTTCTATTGTTTTGAACCAAACGATACATCGAACCACTGTCAAATACGATCTTTTGATGTTTCAAAACAAATGAGCAGGGGGCGGAAAAATACAGGCGGCCCATGGGCGGCATGTAGGTAAATCCGGCCCTGATCATATTTTATACGTTCGCTTTTACAGTTGCGGAACTTGGCTCGGAAAAAGGCTGAAACGCAGTCGTCGGATACGTGGTTGTGTACCTATGAGGGTCACGGCTGCAATGCTTTTGCCTATTCCAGCACCCAACTGCCCATCTCACCCACCGAAGTTGCCGCGACTTGGTACGCTGAGAGCGAGGGCTACAACTACACCATTGAGCCGGATCTTCAAAGGCATCCTTATGTTGGTGAGAATCCGCACACTGCAAAAAAAAGTCTCTTGGATCCAGCGTCCAGACTCTTAAAGCATAACAAGAAAAATTATTTTGATTCACTAATTTTAAGAGATGGGCACAAAGCTGGCTCTCTTCTCCTGAGGATGATTGAATGTTCCTGTTGCTATTTGTTTTCTTGACTTGACGAATCTTTACAGATAATTATTATATTTCTAATATTTTGTGCTTGGCACTCGAAGGCTTGACAAACAGGGCCATGCCCTAGTCGTTAGTAGAAGAAGAAGAAGAAGAATTTTTGCTTGAATCGGAAGCCAACCATCTTAATAAAATCGTGTTTCCTTTCAGTTCAAGCAAAAATCCGATTGAGTCCTGAGTATTTTTTCGTGTCAAATTTTTCAAGAGTCTGGACTCACTCATATTCATCATTTATTCTTACTTATTTCTTATGCCACGCGATGGATTTTATACCCCAATTTGATAACTAAGTTTATCATGCTACCTGAGACTTAGAGTGTCTTAATCGCTCCTTGAATAACTTTTTTTTCTAAGGAATACTTTGTATGATTTAAATTAAGATTAAGGAAGATTTAAGGAGATCCTAGACAAGAAAAAATACTCTCAAGTTAATTAAATTTTTGCTTGAATCGGAAGCCAACCATCTTAATTTAAGCGTAGGTAATTCCTTTCGATTAAAGTAAAAATCCGATCAAATCTAGAGTATTTTTTCTTGTCAAATTTTTCAAGAGTCTGGACTCTGGATCCAAGATACAATTTTTTACCAGTGCATCATTCTTACTTATTCCTTACGTCACGCGATGGATTTTATTCCCCAATTTGAAAACTAAGTTTATCATGCTACTTGAGTCTTATGGCGTCTTGATCGCTCCTTGAATAGCTTTTTTTCTTAGGAATGCTTCGTAAGATTTAAGGAGATCCTTAACATATGTTTAATCTTGCAACTTTCAAGAGAAAACACACAAAAATGATGAAATGTAAAAAAATGGAACTCAAAAGTGAGGGAAAATAAATAAAAAATCCATTTAAAATTGAAAATAACCTTAAACAGAGGCCTTAAAAACCTTAGTTTACCTCTACAAATCATCAATTTACTTTTAGTCCGCTAAGGCTCCTTTTTTGAAGTTTTGTCAAAAACTTTATTTCAATTTCCTGAGTTTTATTTTTATTAATTTGTTTTCAAAGATTAAAATTAAATTTAAATTAAAAATTGCTTTAAATTTAGGCGAGCTGAACAAGCATTTTCACACCAAAAATATGCAAAAATAACTTATCCTAACCCTCTTTGGCATGAATTAATTGTGGATCTCACATTCTAGGGGACACTAATCTATTTCATAGCTTGCATAAAAAAAAAATAGGGTACCAATTTTTTTTCAAAATTTTAAAGTTAAGGGAATCGATTTTTCAAAAAGGAAAAGTGATGGAATTTTGCAAAATCATGGCACAAGGGGAAATGTTCAATTCCTAAAAACCCCGATCATACGTTGTTACAAACTTATAACGCTATGTCATATAGGATTAATTATCTCTCTCCCCCTCCCAACAAAAAAAAAAAAAAAAAAAAAAATAAATAAATAAACAAAAAAATAAATGAAAATTAATGCTACATTGAGGCGAGCTGTACAAAAATTTTCATACCAGAAATATGCAAAAGGTAACTGTCCGATTCTATTGGCTGGGCTGACTGACAGACCCTCCTCACAAGCGCTACTCCAAAAATATGCAAAAATAACTTATCTTAACGCTCTTTGGCATGAATTAACTGTGGATCTGAGATTCTAGGGGACACTAATCTATTTTGTAGCCTGCATAAAAAATAGGGTACCAATTTTTTCAAAATTTTAAAGTCAAAGGAATCAATTTTTCGAAAAGAAAAAAAAAACTAATGACATTTTGCAAAATCATTGCACAGGGAGAAAGGTTCAACTCCCAAAAAACCCCGAACAAAAAAATAAAAAATAAACAAAAAAATAAGTTAAAATTAATTTTAAATTGAGACGAGATATACAAACATTTTCATACCAGAAACATGCAAAAGGTAACTGTCCGATTCTATTGGCTGGGCTGACTGACAGACCCTACTCCCAAGCGCTATCCCACTACTGCTCACCACGGGGACTTTTGGCTGCTGGGTTTCCCCCCTGGCCCGGTTCGCCCCTCCTTAGCCAACCTGGTTACCCCGGACTCCTCCAGGGTTACCATATTGATGACAAGCTTAGTGCGGACGCTCGGTCGACGCAGAGAACTGCCAACCAGGACTCCCAGCCTCAAACCATCCAGATTACCCGACCTCCAAGTAGCTGGATTACAGGAGCACGCCACGACTCCCAGTCGAAGAGACGGTGAAATGCACTGGTATATAAGCGAGCGGCTACGGGTATCGATCGACGTGGCCCGCCGCACCGGTGTGTTGAGTTTGTTGAGTGGTGTTCAACGAACCTGGTGTTGTGCTGGGAGAGGTTAGGTTGACTCAGCCGTGTTGTCGCTCTATGCAGTATAATTCGGATTTAACTTAGCATTGCATTTCGTCGTGAATAACTTGTAAGAGATGGCTCTGGTTTTTCTAGTTTTTTTTAAAACAAAATTTTTTTTCCCCCTTCGATTTCCCCCGTTTTATTTTTTCCCTATTTTCACCCAACCCTCTCTTATTCTTTATCTTTTTTCCATATTTTATTTTCTTGATTTTTCTTAATGTTTTCCTTTTTATTTTACAAGAAAATTATTTTACTACTACTACTACGTATTTTTTCTTTCTTTAGTCTTTTTCTATACTTTTCTCATTTCAAATTCTCACTTTTTTGTCTAAAAGTTTTTTGATGTTTTTCCTTTTTCATTTTATGCCCATTCCTATTTTTTCTCTTTTCCCCCTTTCCCATTATCATTATTTCTTTTTTTCATACTTGCCTTCTTCATTTTTCATTTTTTACTTCTTCCCTTTTTCGTGTTTTCTCTACTCCATTTCCTCCCTTTATTATTTTCCTTTCTTCACTTTTTCCCTTTTCTATTTCTTCTTTGTTTTATTTTTTCATTATTTTTATATATAACCATTTTTTTTTCATTTTCGAGGTTTTGTCATTTGTTGAGGTCATTTCGAGGTTTCCTTACATACTTTCTTTCTTTCTTTTTTTTTCATTTCTCCCCTTTTTTATTTTTATTCTTTCCTGTAGTTTTCCCTTTATCATCGACCAATAATCGATTGATTTTTCAGGTCTTTTCACGCAAATGGTCTGGGCGTCGAGCCAGGCGATAGGTTGCGGACGCCATGAGCGAGAAGATGAGGATCAGGTTGTTGTGATTTGTTTGTACACCCCACCAGGAAATGAGCCTGGGAAATTTTTGGAGAATGTTCTTCCGTAAGTCATAATTCTTATATTGACAATCAACGTTGAGTTACTCACTACTTTCATACGCGGTTATTCGTGACATACGCAACGCTTTTCGGAATATTCTACTTCCCCCAGTAAAAATTGGCGATAGGAGCTGCGTTTCAAAATACCATAGGAGTTCTTATAGCCGACTGAAGAAGGCGATAGAAAATCATATAGCTGGCTGTAGAAAGTGGAAAAAATTATACGACCGGGCTACACGAAGCGATAAAAAATTATACAGCCGGGCTATAGTTCCTATCGCCGGGCTTTAAACTTTATCGCGTGGCTGTTGCTCTTTCACCATCACCTATAAAAGGCTTTAAGAAATTGTTTAGAAATTCGTGTGCTTTGTAAATCCTCAAGTTTGTATGGAATCACCTTAATATATACAAAACGCATATTATATTTTCCTTTACTCCATATTTTGTTTCATCAATTAAAATGAGAATAATCCATACAGAGTGTGCAAACATTTCAAAGTCAAGAGTTGAAAAACGCTGACTCTACGAGATTAAATATTAGAGCCTAACACAAAGCGCAGCAGCGGCGCACTGGCGCCTACAAACCTAACAGGGATACTTCACGCATTGCGCAATGCGTGAAGTATCCCTGTTAGGTTTGTAGGCGCCAGTGCGCGTTCCGCGCTGGCTGACCGCCCGCCGCGCCCCGCCGCAGCGTACCACGGCGCTTGCAGCAACTATTTCGCACCAGAGGTATTGCACAGTATCATACGAAATTGAAAGCGCTCCAACATATTAGGAATGGCAGGCATCCTTCAAAAGTACGGAGCTTTCCTCGCAAAATAAATCAAGATACTACGGCCAAAAAAGAGAGCGGTAGTCCAAAAACTAACTAAGTCCTAGCATCCGTAATTAGTAACGTTTAGCATACACTTTATCGCCAGGCTGTTGCTTAATCGCTATCGGCTATAAAAGGCTATAAGAAAGTGTGTTGCCGGCTATAGAAGCTATTGGAAATCTTACAGCCGCCTGTAGGCCTATCGTATTTTGGAACACAGATTCTACTGCCAAATTTTACCAGGGTCCCTTCCTCGCCTTATCGTATCGCTTTTGAATACGTTCCTATCCTTCCACACGTAAAAATCGGAATGGTTTAATGCTTCTCTCACCCCCCCTCCCCTAAGTGCTACGTATTTCATGATCGGCCGCAAAAAAATAACAGAGCGGAATGGTGAATTTCAGCTGAGTCCCTAAGCGGATCAAAAGTGTAAGGTGCGTTGAAAAAACCGCGGGAATCCTCAAAAACTCAGACATCATTCTTCAAAATTTGTTTTATTCTTAAAGTTTTAATCCATCATGCACCACGTTTAAGTCTAAAAATTGTTGAATTCAAATTAAATGTGAACATCCTGTATGTCAGTACAACAATGAAATATACAGCTCACAGTTTACTGTTTAGGACTAGAGAAGTTTCAAAATATAATTTTTTATCTTAAAAAAAAGAAGAAAAAAGGGGAAAAAGAAAAAAATATTTTCCCTCAGTATTTTCCCTGCGTGGACCAAGGACTCTTTTCTCATAGACTATCCCATTTATTCATCCATTTTTTTCTGTTTGTTTTCAATCACAGGATTCCTCTCAGCGCAACACATCCCGACTTCGAGGAAAATAACAAGCTAGAGTTGGACACGAATGCGAGCACTTCTTTGGAAGCAAGTCTTTTCTCTTTGCTTTTCCTCCTTGCATGGTCACGATGTTAGCTGAAAAGCTAGAGATAAAAATGTTTAGTACTCCGAAGGAGCGCTACCAACGGATGGAACGAAAGGAAGATCACCGAACTGGGGGAGGGATAATGAAGTTTGCTCGTCTATCTTGGTCAAGGGTTGGAATCAAAATCATTCACAGCATTTCAAAATTTGAGATATAAATAAAATTTTAGGTTAAGTGGATAGAAAGAATCGAAAACCAAGCTAGTATTGAAATTCTTAATTGGAGGGATCATACAACATAAAAACGCGATAAATACTAAAGAAACGCATAGTTTTTATTGGGGTGAAGAGAAAAAATGTCTGGATTTCATATCCGTTGGAACCGAAAATCCGAGAACCTATTATATTAGACTGCATTTTGCAATTTGGAAATTCTGGCTTTTCTGGAAGAACACTTATGTGAATAGGGAAATCAATGGCACATATGTTGTTTTTAGACCGGGCGTGAATTTATGGTTCCAAATTGCAAAATGTAGTCCAATTCTAAACGGTAGAGGTAAAGTTAACCCCGGCTAGATTGAATGAAAACAAAATTAAAATATGCATGTAAAAATTGTAACACTTGCTTGACCGACTGTAGAAGCTTTTGGCTCATATGATAGTCAAAACACCAATAATTCTTTGGAAATAAATAATTATCCTATTCAGAGTTATATTTCTTATCAATTAAGGAAGTTACGCGCCGATTTTCCTGACCATGTTGTATGTAGACATTGCTAATGGAGTCATGATCTACAGGCTTGAAAGGAAATAGCATTGAAATATTCGAAAGTGGCTGCATGTTGAGATTAGGTACACACATCCACATAGAAGTTTTGTGGAGGAATGAGAGTAGAGTGGAGGCAAAATTCCTTACTGTCGGTAATTTAAAAAAAAAAAAAAAAAATCGAAAAAAAAAATCGAAAAAAGTTAGTGATGAATTGTTTTCCTTCAATGCTTTTCCTTTTTCTTTTTTTCTCTCTCTCATGTGCGATGTGCATAAACATAGGGTTTTGGACTATTCTCTTTTCATTATTGGATTTGCAGATGATCTGAAAACATATTTTTCTACATTCTTAGATATATGCAAGACTTGTACCACTGACAAGTATGCTGCCTTTTGCGATAACTCATAGCCTCAAGTGCTGAATTTTAGCTCGTTTATTTTGATCTGTTAGTGCCTAATCCTGAATGGCATGACTCATGGGCTCTCTTCACACCCACCGAACATTCCAGCCTTCGAAATTGAAACTCAAGTGCAATCACCTATGTCCTCAAGTGCTATTTCTGCATAATCCAACCATACCACTCATGGAGATGAGTGAAATTTTCGCGGAAAATAGCATTCCACTTTGACTCGTTCTGAAAACATTGACACTATTCGAAACAACTCGAGTACCCACAAACAACCTCGAGGTATCTGTAGTAAATAATACGCCTATACTAAAATTTGCATCTTACATTCATCGAAAGATATGCACATTTCATAGAATGCAAATGATTATCTTGGACACATTTGTAAAGGCCCAAAATTAACATGGATGACAGGTAAGCTGACTTAAACCCAGGAAGTTCTCTCGAAAATCTCCGAGTTCTCTCATGGTCCCTTGGGCCGGATCCTTGGACTAAGCAAATGAAGTGTTGAACTTATCTCTTTTAGTAGTGATTATCATACCACCAAAAACATTTTGAGCAAAACAAATTGCTCGAAGTGCCTATTTGCATTAAATATTCCATCGTAACATGCACATTTTGACACAGAAAAAGTGACAGTAATTATTTTCCAATAATAACAATTAATTTATTTCCGTCTTATGCATGCCTATATCACTGAAATTAAAGCACCATTGGTCTAAACTTTTGATATATTTATTTTTTTATTCATAGTTTCTAAGAACGCACAGGCAGCTTGTATACTAAAGCGGCTCAGATAAATGGATGGATAAATTTCATTCAAATTGCAAGTTTTACTGATTATTTACAAGTTTTTTTTTTTTTTTTTTTTTTTTTTTTTTTTTTTTTTTTTTATCAATGAACATTTTCTTGGGTTAACAAGATTCAATACATTATGAGAGAAAAAAAGAGAAAAGGAAGAGTCCCTGCTTTTATTTTCGTCAAAGTTCTGTCCGTCCGCAAGTCCAATGAACAAGAATTTTTAAATTTCCCGCCAAAGCAAGATAGTGCATACAGTACAAGCAAAGTGCTCTATGGCTTGAAATACCGCGATTTCAGCGCCTTTTTCCAACAGTCAGGATGGCCGAGCGGTCTAAGGCGCCAGACTCAAGGATTCCCCTTGCCCGTTCCGCGGGTTGAGCGTTCTGGTCCTCTCTGAGGGCGTGGGTTCAAATCCCACTCCTGACACATAATTTTTATCGTGAAATTAATTTTTATTTTGCTCCAAAAGAAGTAGTCAAGTATAATTGCACCTGTTGGACGATTATATTGTGGGTTTAAATTTTCTTCACTTTTAATCATTGATCCGTAATATTAAGCCGGCGCTCACTGGTCCTCTTTGAGGGCGTGGGTTCTAATCCCACTTCTGACACTTAATTTTTAATATGAAAATAATATTTTTTTTTATTAAAGAAGAAGCTCCAATGTATTTCTACAGTTGTTTGACGATTATATTGTGTATCGGGAAAATGCTTTATTGTTATTCACCATTATGCCGTACTACCTATCAAACCAGCGTTACCTATGAAGTATCCATACAAATTCCGTGCTTTGCGGGACGTATCTGAGGGTGTGGGTTCGAATCTCATTTTCGTCATAAAATTTTTATTAGGCATAGAACATTTTTTTTTAGCTCAATAAACAGTTCTAAAGTAGAATTAGGTTTTTTCCTATAAATATTAATGTAAAAACGTATATTATCGGGAATTACATGAAATGTACACCGCTTATGTGTCGGCACTGAGCGTGACCGTCATCGTAGGCATGTTGTTCTTTTTATTTTATTTCATTTTTTGGTTTATTACTTAATCATTTTCTTTATTTTGTTTTACGTTTTGGCAAGCGGTATTTTGAGTTCTTTAAACGTGTTCTTTAAGATTCAATAAACTTTAAAAATTGATATTCACGCGAGAAGGGTCTGCACGGCACATGGGCTCCTTTCATCGACGAAAACATTTTATTTTTATTTTCTTAATAAATTAGACATCTGCTTTATTGTCCCTTCCTGTATAAAAAATCATTTATATTTCCGCAGTTGAGTGATGATAAAATTTGGAAATATGTAAACATCTTAAAGGTCTAGTTTTTTGTCTCGAAAGAAACTCTACACTCCTGCCTTTTTTTAGGTCTTATTGCTTTTAATAATAGAAACAATAGAGCTGAAAAAAGGGAAACAATTTAAAACACCAAATTTGGCAACCATAAATGAAATTAAAGCCTCCTTCTTAGTTTTCCCTCATCTTCCCGGAATAATATGACTCATGGGTCTTATTGTTGTAATCAATTAAAGATAAATCGTGTGTAATGTCAAATTTCGACACTTAAGTAGTCTGCAGTTATGTTAATCAATGTAGTTGAATGACACTTGAAGATATCTCAAACGATTCGCAGAAATTTAGTGTATTTAATCTGAATCCATTCAAGCAAAGGTTTTTTTTTCTTTCTAATTCATGAATATTAGTCATAGTCATGATTCGGATGCCACAGGATATAAATACGAAAATTAGTCCACCCATGAGACCTATTTAGTTAATTAGGGCATCTTTTGTGTCGAGTAGGTAAGGTTAAAACCGATTCTTGACAGTTTGAATTGTGACGTGAATGGTTAAAAATAGGTTGTATGTTTAGATTCGCGCGTAAAGTAGATCGCACATGCACATACAACGAAAAAATATCATTATCAAAATGAACTCTTAAGAGTAGTCGCCATAACTAATAGCTGTGGTATTTTCAGCATTTACCAAAAATTCTCCTCATACGTTAAAAACTTTATCACACGATTTTTTTTCTATTTATTGTAAACATACAATGGAACAAAATTATATAGTCATTTTTGTAGCCTGCCTCCATCTTTACAAAGTTGTTATCACGAAACAAGAAACGTATCAAGTATAATGGACCACTAGACAAGGTTCGAATTTAAGCATTCTGATACATGTTTCTTAACCAGAATTTCACGTAGAGCACGATTCGCGCAACGAAAACTAATGAAACAAACCTCAATGTTGGACTATAGCTCTTTTTTTCCGGCGCACAGTAGATCGAGTCAATTATTAGAGGTCGGACAAGAAATCTTTGTCTAAAACTGCAAATTTTGATGTTTATCTCGTCACAATTTAAATTTCAATGGGTGCCTCCGGAAGAAAATTTCACGAGGAAACCAATGGAACCACATTTATACCCTTAAAATTTTGTAATCACGGAGTAATAAGCGTATAAAGTTTCCAAATTTTGTCCGACCTCTCACTGGAAAAACACATTGCATCTAGAGTCCAGACTCTTGAAAACATCGACAAAAAAAAAATACTCTTGATTCAATCAGAATCTAGCTTGAATCAAGAACCTAGCCTCTTAATTTACGCGGATTTCGTTTTGATTCAAGCAAAAATCCGATTGAATCAAGAGTATTTTTTCTTGTCAATGTTTTCAAGAGTGTGGACTCTATATCCAATATGTGTGTTTTTTTTTTTTTTTTTTTTTTTTTTTTTTTTTTTTTTTTTTTTTTTTTTTCCAGTGCTCCTATTTACTCGACTCAATGCGCGGTGTAAAATCAGGATCCAGGTCCCTTCGTTGCCGCCCGTGGCAATTTCGCTCTGAAAAGCACAAACGGCCTCTGTCTCCGGTCCCTCGGGACCCCCTCTCCCGGATAGAACTGCTCCATATAATTCACCTGGTTAGATGTAAAATACAAATACCCGTCTGCTCCCACGCTAAAAGTATCCACCCACAGGATCCTCTTATCCCTGACGAACAGCACAACCATACCCGTTTCCGGGTCGAACATCGAAACCCCACATTGCTCTGCGTTTCCCGCGTAGACAACCCCATTGGAGTCAGTGGCTAATCCATCAGATATGCCTACCTCGCCCAGAACCCTAACCGCAGAGGCAAGCTCATTGTCAGAAGCACGATCCCGAAGAAGGGCTGTTGGAACCGAGTACAAGAACCGTCCGGCGATGCTGGTATAGTACAGGGTGTCCAACTTTGGTGACAAGGCAATACCATCAACCCCGTTCGTTATAAATCCGAGAGTTTCAGCATCGTAGAGCGGCTCACCGGCGACGAAAGGCACAGTGCCGAAGATACTGGTGACGGTGCGGTCGCCCGCCAGAGCGCGCCACGACTCGCCTGTCGCCAGGTTGAGAACCACAAGTGCGTTCTCCTCGCCCGAGTCGGTGATGTAGGCGTAACGCCGACCGGTGTCGAAACGCACGTCGTTGAAGTAGGAACTCGGCTTGGCGACGGAGGGAGGAAAGAGATTGGTCTTAGTGACGTCATCGGTGCTCAGGTCGATGGAGATGAGCTTCGTGCCGCCCGGAGATGCGAGTAGCCTGGTTGACGTCATAGGGTCTATAACGCGACCCGTGTCCAGGAGCCAGAGGACGTCGTCGAAGTCGATGACGACGGACTGGACGGAGAGCAAGTAGTTGCTCAGGCCTTTGGTCACGGGAGTTTTACCCCGAGCGATGGTGCCCCCTGGTGGCTGGCTGAGAGAGGCGTTGGGGTAGGCGACCTCGGTGTCGAAGCCTGTCAGTTCTGCGACTTGGTAGACGTTGTTGGAGCCGGTGTAGGTGGTGGCGGGATCGATACCGGAGGGGTAGCAGGAGAACTTGCGCCCGGATGCGGAGACAGCGATGCCGGTTGGGAATTCGTCTTCGTAGAGGTGGATGACTTGGAGCTGGGGGTCGCGACCTAGAGGGTCCGCGAGCAGGTTGGGTTCGATGTTGGTGGTTGTCGCCCACGGCACTGAGGCGAGGATAAGGGTGAGGATGCGTGACGTCATCTTGGCATGGAGCTCTCGGTATGCTCCCAACAAATGATTATTTAAAGAGACGTCTATGAAATGGAGATGTTGCATGTGTGAGGAATTTGCGATTTGACATTTGATTCTTACGTAAAAGTCCGCGAGAAACACGATGGTGCCACTGGTTTTCTCTGAAATCAACTTCCAAACTCAAAAAAAGCTCTCAAAGTGAGGCCAAAATGGAGGGGATATCCCACGCTATCCTGAGAGTCCACCTCTACATCAAGACGAACTCTCCATGTAAAGATAGGGAGCAAATACATTAGCACGGTTGCCATGTTTTCAGTTTTAGAGTCCCCGAATAAAGTGGCACCATCGTGTTTCTCGCGGACTTTTACATAAGAATCTACAGTCAAATCGCAAATTCCTCACACATGCAACATCTCCATTGGGCGTATTTCTGTTAAACGGAACTAAGCGCCAATTTGAGTTCCTTTCGAGGATTTTAGAATACCGGACAGTGCGTTCTGTCAAACGGACTTAATCGCCGTGGAAAAGCATTGCGAAAATAGGACGGAACGAGCATCGCGTTCCGCAACACCCGTGGAGAAAAGATGATGTTGCCAATTTGCATGGATCCGCCAATGCCTACGGCGCTTGGTTCCGTTTGATAGGAATACGTTCAATTATGTAGTTAGTGATTTTACCCTTTTCGTCGGATGCATGCTGCTGAGACATTTTGATCGTGTATCTCTGTATCATATTTGATAATAATCTAAAACAACAAAACACTATCATTATCAATCATAATGACCAGAATGGAACAACAGGAATTTGCGGTCATTAAAATGTAAGGTACGAGTCATCGTTGATTCGAAAGAGGATTTGTGACTTTTTCCTTGAAATTTATTCTTATTTTTTAGTAAACAAAGGGACGGAAAATGCTGACTACATTCAAAATGTCATATGAGGGACTTGAACTTTGTTGTAGCCCCTCCTCTGCACTGATAAAAATATGTGTGTTACTTTTGGTTATTATAGGAGGTGAAACACATACCAACTCAAATGTTGCGTTGATTTTGGTAGAGTTCGCGGTGAATTTGGCGCAGAAAAAAATGAAGAAACCTCCGTGTGAACAGCTGACTTGGGTTTTTTTTGTTTTACTTCCCGCGTATTAACCAAACTTTCGTGTCGCGTGTTCTCTCTGTATGGGCCAACTTCAAGGGAAAGAAAATAAAAAGAAGGTATTAAGAAAGAAGATAATAACGAGATAAAAGGAATAATAAAAATAATACGAAAGAAGGCAATAAAGGTAAAAAGAGTAATAAACATAAGGGGAGAAAAGGAAGAAAACAGAGGCATTTTTTAAGGTTTATAGGGCTATGAAAGAAATGGAACATTTACGCTCGTAATAAACACGTTAGTAGTTCAGTGGAGTAGATGCGGCCGATAAAAATCACCCAATTGGCTCAGATGAGATGGGAGACTCCGCCTTTCGATGATGTGTGCGGAGAGATTCAACTCTGATTGGAAGTTAGGCGTCTGACCCTTTTGACATGAAAAGGCCGTAGAGGGCGACACGCCCGTTTTATTCACGCCCGCCCATCGGTGGGGTTTTGCTACTCTCTCATCAGTGGCGTGGCGTGAATTGAGATGCATCGATTATTATGCCATTTAAACCAATGGAAATGGATCGATAAACAAGGTGTTCGCAGTGAACACCTTTATAATCGATTCTTCACCATAGGTTTAAATGTCATAACAATCGATACATCGCAATTCACGCCACGCCACTGTCTCTCATGTATACTAATTTATTTCGAGATTAGATTGTTATAATAGAGTGCCATCATAGAGTTGACGAGCAGTAGTCGATGAGCATTTATAGAGCAAAAAGGCTGCTCCTCTAACAGCAATTGAAAGGAAATGAGTTAATGAAGCTTTCCAAATTGCTGTGAAAATACAATTAGGAGCTCACTAGAATATCGATAGCCAAAGTTCAAAACCATGTATCTCCGTTTGTGATGATGCAAACTGCCTGTCATACCTACTTCACTTTTTGAATGGATAACTTGTCACCTTAATTTCTTGAACACTTCCTTAATGTGGAAAACTTGTCAACTTAATTTCTTGAACACCTCCTTAATGTTTCATCTCCATATAATAGGAATATTCTGTTTAAATTTCGAGCTGTGAAGTCGGCTGGTTTTCTTTCGAAAAAATAAAATAGAAACAGATTTTGAAACACCGCAACGGAGATACGTCGTTCTGCATTTAAGTCATCGATATAAAATAAATTACATCTCTTCGTTTACATATATTTAACGCACTCAGGTACCTCCATCTTTTTAAATTCAAATCACTGGTAAGAATATACAGTTTTGAGTCCAAGTCTTCAATGGCATAAAGGATACTAAAATCTAGGCTGCAGGCATGTTCTTCAAAAAATAAAATTAGGAGAGAAAAAGCACCTGTGAACGGTTACTTACGTGGTTAGTTGATAACAGAACTGAGTTTTGTGAATTGATCGTCGTAAACATTTTCATGTGGTAGAAGGAGTCGAAAGTTTGGAGCCATGCCTGCCCTATCGAACACAAAAGACAGAGTAACGCTGTTTTCTGTCTACCTACGTTTTCCAACTGTCTGGCAAGAAATATTTGCCACTCACGAAAGATACGAGAGGTAAAGTCAGAAACAGAGTTGGCATTGGGAGGAACCAGATATTTTAGTTTCAACTCATTTTCCGGGCTCATTGTCTCTTACATCACGCATACTCTAAGTCGGCTATGCAATATTGCATGCGCTGCATTTTGTAAATAAGACTGAAACAATCAGAGGCGGATCCAGCAATCTGGCAACACCGAATTTCCTCCATATAAACCCATGCTAAATAATCGATTCTTGTCGGAGCACCTGGCCCCTCCGAGAATCGATACATTTTCATCGGTTTAAATGGAGGAAATCCGGTGTTGCCAAATTGCTGGATCCGCCGATGGAAACAATAATGCCTCGATTTTGCAATTTTTCTACATTATTTATGATATTTTCAAAATGAAACCTAAGTGCTAGTAAGTCACAAAACTTCTTTCGCCCTTTAAAAATGATTAAATCGGAATTTTTGTGGAAATTTTTAGGTCATCCCTCTTCTGAAAAATTAAAATGTAGTGCAAAGTCATTAACGGACATTGGGAGTACTCAAAAAAAGGCGTTACTTGAATTTCAATCAATTTTTCTCTAATTATTTCCTTGTCTACGAAAATAAACATGCTCATAGACGCATAGGATTCAAATAATAATTCGTTTTTCCTTTAATTCAATAGTTAATGTTCAGTAGAATCCAAAACCATTAGAGTTAATAATTTAAACATGATGTTTAACCTCAGTGTATAACCGCTGGGAAAATGAACAAGAAGAGCACAATATTAAGAAAATCATCCAGTCACCTCTTTTAAATACTAACGGTCTACCACATTGGCGTGGCGTGATTTGAGATATATGGATTGATCTGCCGTTTAAACTTATAGAAAAGGATCGATAAACAAGGTGTTCAGATCGTGTATTCATAATCGAGTCTTTACCATAGCCTCAAATGGGAAAAATCGATAATAATCGAGTCTTTACCATAGCCTCAAATGAGGAAAAATCGATAATCAATCATTCACGCCTCGCCACTGGTCTACCGGAGCCTCTTACGGTGCGCTACTTTACGCACTTATTATTAGCGAAGATTCCACAGAATTAATTTTTTAAATGAGAACCAGTAAAGCGTAAGCGTAATACTGCCGTGCTACGTAAAAACGCCTATGAGCATTTGAATGTTGCCAAATTTCCTACCAGAAAAAAATATTTTGGAAGAAAGTTATGAATATGTTTCCCTAAGATTTTCAGACTTTTTTGATCAAATTACGAACAAAATCCTCAGGAGAATCGGAGAGAGATATTCAAAAAAGTTTCTGAATATTCGTGATTTTTTAAGGAAAATTTGGCAACGCCCAATGGCTCGCATGCGGCGTATTCTTCAGGCGTTATTATAGCACGGTATAATAAGCGTATAGGCCCGAAAAGAACAAACGTTGAATAGACTCCTCACAGCATGTCTTTCACCCTGTCCAGTTCGCCTTCAATATGTAAGATGGCAATATGCGCGGCATCGGAGCACGAATGGTTGCTCGTTACAGTTCCGAATACACGTTACTCTTCTTTAGGCCTGTCCTTCATTCTGTCGAGTTTTTCTTCGATAACTGTGATGGAAGTATGAGCGGCCTGGACGTTTGATACATTATAGCCTTCATAATATCCGTCACGTCTGATCCTAAAAGTTTAATCAAACATTTAAAGATATTTGAAGTGCTGAACTGCCTACTCCACACAGTGCAAAAATCTTACTTTTAGTATTTACATACATTTTTTCAATATCGATTCGTAGGTTGTCAGTGGCGTTTTTAAAATTTTTTTCCCCCTGTGTTTTTTTTTTCAATTTAAGTTTATTATTTGAATAAAAGTCTTGATGAACCTTGCAGTTTGACCAACGGCCCTTCAATGACATTACTCAACGGCAGCACTTTCTCTTTCGAGTTAATAGGAAAAAAAGAGAAAAACAATTTTCAACAGTATACATGACATTAAGATGGGCATTAAAAGGTTGCTTTGAATTTTTTTTTTTTTTTTTTTTTTTTTTTTTTTTTTTTTTTAAGTGAAAAATTAGTTTACAAAATATACATTTTTCAGATTTGAAAATGCCGATAAACGAGGGATGTAATTGACACTTTTATTATGACAGCTTTCTTAGCTTTACTGCCTGTATTTGCAAAAAAACTGCGTTTCCTTGGCCAATCAGCATCGTTCTTTCCAACGATGCATTGTGACTAGCTGCACAATTTAGCAACAGGGGCGCCTGTTGAGTGCAACTGTACAAGACAAAGCCGTGTAGGTACGTCTGCAACGTTGGGGAATGCAATCTAGATATGCGATAACTAGCCGCTTTTTCGGTCAATTTTTGAAGAATTCTGCGGGCATGTGAGGAAAGAAGCAGCTTGCAAAATTAGAAAAAAATGCTGGTTCATTTTTAACCATTCACAGCAGATCTTCGTAAAAAAATCAAACTTGAGCTATCAGTTCTAGAGCGTAGATGAGTGTTCTTCTTAGAAATTGAACTAAATTTACGACAAGTTGGAGCTCAAAAATGTTGCTTACAGAACAATTGATTTTATAATATCCCAATCGATCATGCTCAGTACGAACACTGGAAAAAAAAAACACATTGGATCTAGAGTTCAGACTCTTTAAAACATCGACAAGAAAAAATACTCTTGATTCAACCAGATTTAAGCTTAAATCAAGAACTAAGCCTCTTAATTTAAGCGGATTTCCTTTTGATTTTTAAATCTGATTGTATCAAGAGTCCATTTTTTTGTCAATGTTTTCAAGAGTCTGGACTCTAGATCCAATGTGTTTTTTTTCCAGTGAACCTGTCGGATTGGGAATTAAAATAAAGTTTTGGCCTATCTTTTGACACAATAATAAGGTGAATCGCTCGCATTCTACCAGCACGAAAAATATATTACCGTGCGGTAGTTACGCTGACCACTGTATGGTAAAGGACACAAACTCGATGCTAACAACTATCATGGCAGTTACTATAACAAAGAATAAGAACTACCACCGTGATACTTTGTGGTAACCACCGGGGTATAGTTTTTCCTCCACCACGGTATAGTTATCGTAACCACTGTACTAGGTCTTTACTGAATTGAAACAAAATTAACTCATATTTCGATATCGATGGTTATCGTCATCTATACATCGATCTATTGAAGCATTGCATTTACGTTACACACCTCCGAGCGTTATCGGAAGTCTAATGCTCCGAAGCAATTAGCGGCGTTAGTCACCTGATACACATCCTCTCCAAGAGGGCTTATCGAAAATTTGCTCTTTCGAATTGCTTATTGTGTGCACGCCTCTTATCGCCTTTCTTATCGGCTATCGACAGTTCCCCATTTGAAGCTATGGTAGAGAATCGATTATTGAGGACACCATTACAATCGATCCTTTTCCATAGTTTTAAATGACAGATCAATCGATTCCTTGCAAAGTACAACACGCTACTAGCTGATTTCTTTAGGTCCTGGTAAACCAACGGAGTGCCCGTCTTGAGGCACTTCAAGTCGCTGAGCTAATTTTTCAAAATTTCGATAGTATCCCATTTGAAAATACGGCAAAGAATCGATTATCGAGGTGTTCGTTGCGAAAACCCTGTCTATCGATCCTTTTCCATAGGTTTAAATGGCAGATCTATCTACATATCGCAAAGCAAGCCACACCACTAGGTGCGATATAGATAAAACCTCTTCTGACCCACTTAAAAATCGCGCTGGATGCAGTGATCGAAAGCCCTCTTGCAAAGATGTCAATCGCAGATGGATTAATTTGTGCCGTGTTCCCTCGAGGTTGTGTGTCTGATGGCGTGGATGTTTCGTTTCCGTGATTCGGGAGTGCTGTTAATTCGAGTCATTGCCAAGTTACAAAACCTAGATCTACGGGTCAATATTGCTGGGAATGAAGATAGCTAATGAATCGCTCGATAAAATGAGAAATTAAGCATCGCAATGCATTTTTTCCCATCAAAATTTTTCGTAAAACACGGTGAACAGTGTAGGGAATTTCTATGATATGAAAAATAATTTAGAGCAATAAGTTTTCACTGAGTAAGCCCTTTTAATTTGTTAAATTTAGAATTTAGAAAAGAAATCCAAAATCAAAATTTGTAATCTACACGGAAAAAATTAAATTGCTGATTTAACAATTCAATTGCTTAAAAAAAGTGACTGCAATGTCTCAACGTAGATTTTACAGCAACAAAATTGCTACTTTAACCACTAATGTGAGCTAATTTAACCACGGGGGTGCTTAAAGTAGCATTTTTTGGTTGTAAAATCTACATTGAAACATTGCAGTTACTTTTTTTAGCAATTGAATTGTTAAATCAGCAATTTAATTTTTTCCGTAAATTCCGCATCAATTCTTCAACAATTTCTCAATTCAATTCTTAATCAACGCCCTTTGGGCGTCAATCTAGACTTCCCGCCTGCCAAAAACCTAAATATTCCACCCTGATGACAAAATTACGCTTAAAAGATATAATTTCACGCAGAGCTGAAATATCCTGGATGATCAAAAAATTTCAAAGATTTTTGGTGACAAATTTGAAAAAGTTATTTCCTGTTCAAAAATAATCAAGACCAATCTTAACATTTGCACCTAAGATAAAGCAATTGACTGCTTGCCTGCAGAACATTTGACAATATGCTTGATATTCAACATCGTTTTTCAGACGAAAAGACGTAACGCCATTTTAAGGCAACGCAAGTGACTTTTGCAGAATACAAATTTTTTACCAAAATATGAATCTGCAGCCTCTGCCCAAATATTGTTGGCATTTGTGTGCAATCAGGGAACAACCGGTGAAATTTACAGTCAGAAACTCTCAATAATGCGTGTTGCGGATAGAAATATCACATCTTTCAAATGGACTGGATTTTGCAATTTGGAACTATAAATTCTGGCTCTTCTGGAAAAACAATTATGTGCATAGGGTAACTAATGGCACAAACGTTGTTTTTAAACCGGGCTAGAATTTATAGTTCCAAATTGCAGAATGTAGTCCAAATGTAGTCACGTTCTTTCGTTTTTTAGGGGAAACGATATGCATTCTATGAACGTCGGTGAATGACCTCAATTTTTGACGAGTTTTTTGAGGACGATATCTCGCTCAAAAAACATGAACTTTATCTAAAGCAACGAAGAATTTGGCGATAAGGCGCTGGAAGGATGTCAACGTTTACTCTCCTTTAATCCTGATTTCTTCTGCCTACTGCGTTGAAGACAGTCCGTTAGCGCCTGCGATTTATAATAGGTTTATTTAAAATTCCTCTTGAAAAAGAAAATTAAATACTAATAATCCAGAAATGTTAATTATTGTGATAGTAACTTGGTCAATGCATTTTCTGTTTCACTGAAACATACGTTCACGCAGAATAAGAAATTCTTCTGTTTGCGAAGTGTCGTGCCGTGCCGCTCTATACGGGCTATCCCGAGTGAAACCGCAATCTTGAATCTCATATCGGAGTCAATGACACCGGGTAAAGAATGTGTGTTCTTATTTAAAACAGTTTATGGATAAGTGTTTTCGTGGAACGAGCCCTCTGATCATACAAAGGTAAAGAACATGTTTTCTATTTTAAATTAATAATGTTATTAGTGTTATGTTTGACTGATTGCATTTTTTTTAAATTGATAAACTTGAAAATTTCTACTGCTACTTCATATTATCAAAGAAATTTCTTTCTACGATTATAAAAATTCATTATCAATTGAATGAAGACCAGGATCAATGAAACTGCATTTTGCGTTGCAATCATGTTTCTTCTTACCCCTCTTTTTTTTCAAAAAACCTGAATTACATTATGTCTTGATGCGCTCTGTGAGTTTGTCCTTGCTTTTAAAAGAAAACATAAAGGAATAGATTTATGGAATATTACAGAAGAAATTTTAATAAATTGTTTGTGAATAAATTATATAAAAAATGAAACAAACGAATAAATTAAGCACCGTAACAATTAAGGAAGGCTATTTTCATTGAAGTATACCTAAAATTTTTTCAGGAATTCTTACTGCTCTGATGATGAACATTTGTTCGTCAAGTTCCTGTAGGATTTAGTTCGCATACATTTTGAGACGAACGAAATTGTCTTTTGTCTTGCTTATGAAAAGTGATACGCTTCCATTACCCAAGTAACACAATATAACGATTATCTTGAAATAATAGTGCAATTTCGCAAAACAGGCCCATTTTCTTTGAAAAAAGTCACTTTATTTTTTATTATCTCTCATGAGTAATAGATTTATCGCCAAACCTCCACTGGAAAAAAAAAAACACATTGGATGTAGAGTCCAGACTCTTAAAAACATCGACAAGAAAAAATACTCTTGATTCGATCAGATTTAAGCTTAAATCAAGAACCAAGCCTCTTAATTTGAGCGGATTTTCTTTTGATTTTAGTTTAAATCTGAGTGAATCGAGAGTCCTTTTTCTTGTCAATGTTTTCAAGAGTCTGGAATCTAGATCCAATGTGTTTTTTTCTTCCAGTGTTCGTTTCCCAAAGAAAATCAAGGATTTGATCTTGATCCAAAGGTATAAATGCGGCCAACGACCGATGTTGCGGCAAAGAAAGTTCTGCTCAAGGAGGGTCATCGGCCGGCCTCGTCGTCGACGGCGCAGATGACCAGGCGATGGTTCAGTCACTGGTGGAGGAAGAAATGGCTCCTCCTTGTCTGCCTAGGCTGCTTCCTTATTTATCTCAGCCTTGCCAGTTTCCGGGGTCCACGGCAAACGAAAATCGGTGAGATTTTACTATCGTCATGGATTGATTTAGTGGACGTCATATAGTTCAAACACACGCATAACCTAGAGTACACACTGAATTTGACGTGGCTTGGGATCAGAGGAGGATAGAGACCCTCCACTAGTATCTCGGCTATTGTGGAAGCTTTTACTTTCGGGACATCAACATTAAACTGTTGACTTACCTACATGGTGGATGTTTAACAACGTGTTGGCAGTTTCGTTTTGCAAACAAGCCAAAACAAGCCGTATTTTGGGAAACTTGTTTGGCTCATGACGTCACCCGAAGCTCATCACCCACCATGTAGGTAGGTCAACAGCCGAAAAAAGAGTGATGACTGTATCCCCCTTATAATCGGCTATAAGGAAGTGTTGAATCCCCGAAAGTAAAAGCTTCAACCTGTCGCCAAGAGGCCAGGAGGGTCTCTTGTCTCTTGTCTCTGCTTGGGATATAAAGTTTAAATAAGGACAATAAATGGGGTATAAAAAGTTCCCTGACACTAGATTTTTCTTTTTTCTTCAACTTGATGTCTGACTTTTTTCTTCTTTTTTTTCATGATATATTTGTAGTCCTATACATTTAAAGCTCGCATGTGCCGGGCCCATACTGCCGTGCTAAGGAAAATCGCCGTATGAACCTTCAAGCGTTGTCATATTTCCTTTGATAAAAAAAAAGAATTCCCTGGTAAAAATATGAAGATTTTTATCCTAATTTCTTATATTATTTTGTCCGCTATTTCACCTAAGATTCCTGAAAATTTCAAGGACAAAATATTCATGATTTTCTTTAAAAATAAATTTTTTTCGTAGGAGATTCGGCAACTCTCGAATGTTCATACGACGTTCTTCTTTAGCACGGCAGCATACAACCCGCGGAGTACGTGGTTTTAGCGGGCCAATTAGAGCCGGCTCTGACATCGAAGGGTTATTGAAACTTTGCGGGAAAAGAGAGGAGCCCACTCTCAGGGGCTTGTGAATTTTTATACATTTTTTACCTCTAGTAAATAGCCTTTATCGGTACTTTAAAATGTTACAATGCATTATCCGTGGCAAGACAAATAAGAAGAGGAAAATCATGCTAATCGTCCAATTTTGCGGCGCACAGTGGTACGCGAAAGAGGTCGAGCGTGAAACTTTCGAATAAACATGAAACTTTTGGTAAATATTTTGTCACATTTTTAATTTTAACCGGTGTCTCTCAAGGGAAAGGGTATCCTGGGATAAGCATGTCAAAATGCCCTTGTGAATGGGATTTTATTTTAACCATTTTAAGTCATCAAGGGTGTCCTAAAACTTAGGTTTTGGGGGATTTTAACCCCCCAACTCCCTCCGCTCCCTCCCTCAGACCCCCCAAAACCGCTTTTTTGGGCTATTCTTGACTACGTTAACGTCTTTTCCTCATAACTTTCGTAATTTTCGATAGAATTGAACCACAATTTGTCAGAATCCACATCAATTAGCTTAGTTTTTGTAAAAAAAAAAAAAAATCATTATCATCGGATAATATTGGATCGGTAGCTTGGGCTTGGACCAATTGGACTATTTTCATATTTCTACATTACGTATTGCCGGAGATGGAAGCTTTAAAAATTTCAACAATACATCCGGCTCCTGTCATTTCAGATTATTCCACTGTGCGACACTACCTATCCCATGCCTTGCAGAACCGTAGTTTCATTATTACTGATAGTGAGGAGCGTTTGCGAACGCACCAGCTATAGTAGCTGTGTGCACCGAGTTCGTTCATTTCGGCACCATCGACATGCAGGTGGTGACTGATAATACCTCGAACAATTAGCTTTGTTCAAAGTTCGTAGCCTCTCCATCAGATGGCGAAGGTGACGTGATTTTTTTTCGTTCCGCGATCGGAGTTCGATGTTTGAGTTCAACTGGGTCCAGCTGGAGCCTCATTATCCTTGGTGTACTTTAAGAAAATAGTACGGTTAATTTTTGAAAGCTTTCACGTCATGCGTGAGGGTGATAAATTATCCAACTTCCCTGCCTTCTCTTCTATGAGTTACATTTGGTAAAATTAGTGGCGTGGCGTGCTTTGCGATGTATCGATTGATCTGCCATTTAAATCTGTGGAGAGGAATCGACGAACAGGATGTTCATAACGAACACCTTAGTAATCGATTCTTTATCATAGTTTCAATGGGGAAATATCGATGATCGATCATTCACGCCTCGCTTTTGAATGAAATATACGAGGAGAAAGAAGTTCTGACGAATGGAGCCCTTTCGACGCAATTGGGACCTACAAATTTCCGTACATTGTTAATAGATTCTGTCCTACTTATTAAGTCGCTTTTAGTCGTTGTGGGGTAGACATTCTACTTTCTCGAAATGTTTGTCTAAAATCAACGAGGCTTGTCTAATAATTTAGTGCTACTACTGAATTGATCACTTTTAGAAGACTACCGTGACGTGAAGACGTAAAGACTGAGATTTTAGGATAGGGAGTGACATTCTGAAAATTAAGAGGGGGGTTTGGAAGGTTTCCCGCAGTCAAGAGGATCCTCCCCAAGAAAAATGTTGAAATTAGGTAACGCTAGCCCGCATTTTTTGGTTGTTTTTTGGAAAAATTGAGATTGTTCCATCTCTGTAAGATCAGTCTTACTTTTATAAGATTCTTAGTAATTTTAAATCTCTGCACTTTAATTAGAATGGCTCAAATGCGTCAAATACCTGTTTCATTGACAGCTAGTTAAGATCCGAATATCCGAAATGCGCATTTAATTGTTTCTTCTCCAACATTCATGGGGAACTTTCTGATAATGGTTATTACTTAAAGTGTAACGGCTGTTCCTCTTTGAGTTCCAGGTAATAGCAACATACATCGCAATATGCTGGAATTTCTAGCTGAGAAAAACAAGAACATAGTTACCAACCGCGTTACATTCGTAACCAGTCACCCGCATCTAACGAATAAACCATCAACTTACGAGCCGCCCTTTACAACAATACCTGAAACGCAATCTTCTCATCAGGTTGAAGCGAGTTCCACGGTAAATCCTTTAGTGACCACTGAAACATCACTAGAAACCAACACCAATTTCAATTCTATCCTCAGTATCATCTCTAGACTCGCGAGTGGCAAGCAACTGAGTGCAAAAACAACATATCCTGCGTTGAAAAGGCCGTCCGTTTCGCAAATTTTACCTCATGTCAAGGACGATTCCAGCCTCGTTCCGGCTTATCTATCTTCGAAGGGAAGAACCGGGGGTAAGTCGAAAGCTCTGAAATTATTCAGTTCAAAAACGACTTGGTGCCAAAATTTTCAAAAATTCGCAATATTGCAGAGCATTGTTTTTTGAGCTTGATTCAGAGTTCAGTTCCCCCCTTCATCGAGAAAAAAAATATTTTATTCCCCCTAAAAGTCAAGAAACTATTGGAAAATCTACGTATTTGTGCAGTTATCATAGATGAAGAATTAGTACGCAATTTCTCTTTGCTGTATCAGAGAAAGCTTAAAGAGCGGATTCCGCAGTATTTTTCATAATTTTTTTCTGATATGGGGAAAAGTATAAAAATAGATTTTAAAGTGAGAAAATGCACCGCCTGAAGATGCCATCTGGCGGCATTTCCCAAACAAACATGCATGGCAAAACACATTTTTTAGCTTATTACATAATTTTGTCATATCTCCTCCAATAATTATTCAATTTATGAACCGAAGGTATTCTCGTGTTCAGTTCTTTTAGTAGTTTCCACTTAAGCACTAATGCCATAATAGTTTAGCCTCCTGCAAATTTGCCATTGCTTATATATTCAATGAGAAAAGAAAACAAAAACTGCCGAGCCACTGCCTCTTTAAAGAGCCTAAGAGCATGCACCAAATTTTTTTTTTTTGAAATCATGGAAAACTATCAAATCGATTTCATCAGTTCCTTTTTTTGGGTTGTTGCGCTTTTATTTTTCAGGATTGGGTCGTTTTTAGCTGAACGACATAATTGATCTCAAAAACTCTTAAAAACTGTGACTTAACCGAGGAGAAAAAAAGGAGGTGTTTGCATTTCGGGCATCTTGGATTTGTTTGATAACGTAGGTCGGTACGGGCGATTTTTATCATCGATTTTCTTGAAGATGGTGTGGTTTATGGAAAAAAGTCGTTCTATATAAAGCGTTTCTAATTATATCATGGCTGGATTTAAGCAAAAAAAAAAAAAAAAAAATCGGACATTAAGGTCCGTTTTTCATATTTCGAATCCCGAATTTTGCTGGAATATCGACGTCATGTTGTATCGACTACGTAACGGGGTAAACATTCCTCAAGATGCAAACCCCTCCTTTTTTTCCATGCGATTTGGCCTCTCGTTGAACTTTAGAAAGCTCTCGAGTGCCGGTTAAATTTTAGCCAGAGGCAATAACGCTCTGAGATCGTTGGCATCATATTTCAGATGAGTCATGCCGCTTTGAAAGTTCCCACCCATCGCTAATTGGAATTATTCCTATCAAACGGAGTTATGTGCATTAAGACATGAGCCCTGAAACCCATAAGAATATATGCATGACAGGGCTCACGTCATAATGCACATAGCTCCGTTTGATAGAAATACGTCCAACTGAAGACTTAGGAGGTAAACAAACAGTAATTACTTCAAATATGCGTATGAAACTTTGAGTTCAAGTATAAATAAACAACATCTGATATCTTCGTTCCTCTCTACTTTCTATCTTTACCCCTCATTCAATTGACTGTATTTTTGTCTTTTAGTGGAACTTGTTTTGGGCATTCCCACCGTCAAGCGGCCGAAGCAAAACTACTTGAGGGTGACTCTGAAACGTTTGTTAGGAACCATGAGTCCCGCAGAAAAAAACCGAACTTTGATAGTCATTTTAATAGCTGAGGTGAGAGATTTTCTGTATTGAGTTTCTTTATTCTGCAATCGTGTAGAGTCCATATTGTTCCCATTCATCTGATGAAATATAGTGCGTGATTCATCAGTATAAGAGCATCGAAAATATAATCTATAAATTATTCTTTAATGGTAGATTTTAAACAGAATTGTGATGCACGTTTATGACCTTTGACCTTTGACCTAATGACCTTTGTTTTATTATAGGTGGATAAGCGCTTCGTTTCGAGAATCGTTGGTGACATTCACACTACGTAAGTATTTTTGGATTTGCTTTTTCCCCTTTTCCTCATATTTTGCAAATCAATATTTCTTCTTTTGCTAGGTTCGGATTTTTCTGTTTTCCCGTGTGCTATGATATTTCTTTTTTAGAGAAAAGACGGCCAAAGTCGGCCAAAGTCGGCCTCCTGTATTGTAGTGGTTGTAGCGCTAGCTCTACAGTCAGGAGGTCCCGGGTTCGATTCCCGGTTAGGCTACCCGAGTTTGATGGTCTCAATTAACGGTTGCCTTGGGCTGGTACATGTTAGGGACGGAGGGGGAGGGGCTCTAATTGGAAGCGCAAGGATTACCACTAAATAAAAACTTTAGTTTCAACTTTATTCTAAACGTATTGTATATTAATGTAACTTTGCCTATGCCAAAGTCATATCGTTTTGATTCATTTTGTATGGACAAAAAAATCTTTATCTTCTTGATATTGCATGGACATCCATAAAGCACAATTAGTTGCATCCAATAAGCAATAGGCATCCGCATACCGCGTCTTGGAGGCGGTGACTATAAAACGCCTTCATTTTCACCCGACGCAACACGTACATCCATAAAGTGCAAATAAGCTGCATCTAGGCACTATTTATATTTAGATCGCGTTAAGCAGAAAGGAACCAAGCCACATCAGCTGTTGCCAAATTTCATTGGGCTATTTAATTTATCACATGAAAACGGGTGTGCGGATTTTTATCCAAATTGCAGTGAATTTTTTCCAGAGTACGAAGCAACTTCCTTAACATTTTCAAAGGAATCCGCACAAACGTTCTCTTGAAATAAGATAAATTGCCCAGTTACATATATAATACAAAAGCTGATAATATAATAGCCAATATACAATAGCTGATGTGGGTTGGTTCCTCTCTGACAAACTCGGTTCATTTTAATCAGTTCATGACTTAAGTCTCCTCATAGAGGCGTTCTCAGTCTGTGTTCGAAACTTGCAGGCGCCATTGCGTCTAAAAGAAATTGGCCATGGCGCCTAAAAAATGAATGCTCTGGGCCAATGTGGCCCTTAAAAATCCGCCTCCCCCCCTAAAAAAAATCCCATTTTTTCCGGTGATTTTCCGAAATTTCCCCCTAAGTTAGATGTTAGAATTCCTAGTTCTGTAACTAAAAAATCTTGCGTCTGACTCCTCACGAAATGCGCCGTGATATATCAGCTTAAAATCAATTTGGCCCCTAAAATTGAGCTAAATGTGCCACATGGCTCCCAAAACTCAGAAGTGAGCTTCAAACACTGAAAGAAGCTATTCGCTCTTGAAGCGAATTTTCGCGATCGAATATCATTCACCGTTGAATGATACTCGACGACTGCGCTTTTTTAAAGATGATATTCGACTTCTTCGTTGGTCTCACCGGAAATACCTACTTGCACAGAGGATAGAATTTCATGAGTGCTACCACCCGCGGCGCACTATGGTCCAAAACTCAAGAATAAGAAGAAATAAGTCCGATAATGACTGGGAGATCACGAGAGTTTCGTAACTAAAGTCTTTCGGAGTCGCTAATTTAGAATTTGATGTCAAATTGCCTACATTTTAGCGCCCTGACCTAGAAATTGTGGGCAAGTTAATTGCTCGCTGCGGCGCGACGCGGCGTGCTGCCAGCTCGAAACGCGCACTGACGCCTACAAACCTAAGGGGATACTTCAAGCATTGCGCAATGCGTGAAGTAGTCCTTTAGGTTTGCAGGCGTCAGTGCGCGTTTCGCGCTGGCAGCGGCAGCACGCCGTGGCTTTCCCGGCAGGCGGGTGGTGACCAATTTTTTGCGGGGACAGCTCCCTGGCGGAAAAACTTGTGTATAGTGTGATTTTTTTTATTTTTTATTTAATTTTTGACTTTTAAAATTACACACTGGTCTTGTGATGTAATTAGTGAACTCTCAACGCTCGATGAAGTGTAATGATGTAAGGCGCGTCATTTGCGCTGCGGATGGCGCAGGGCGGCTCGTGAAATAGTTCCCTGTGCTCTGTCGTCGGAAATCGTCGAAATCCGTCAATTTGAAATTTCGAATTCACCTCGGAACTTGAATTCTATTCTTGAATTGTTGTAATCGATGTCAGAAAATTCATCTTTCACCAGATGTTTTGTCTCGTCATTTCTTTCTGTCGTTGTGTCGTGTTCCTTATGGACAATTATTAGGGAGCAACAGTCATCACCCTAGTTTCGGCTGTTGACTTACCTACATGGTCGATGATGAGCTTCGGATGACGTCATGAGCCAAACAACTTTCCCAAACGTCGGCCATTTTCGGCTTGTTTGCAAAACGAAACTGCCAACACGTTGTTAAACATCAACCATGTAGGTAAGTCAACAGTAGAATGCTGAGGTCCCGAAAGTATAAAAGCTTCCATCCAGAGACAAGAGACCCTCCAGTAGTATCTTGGCCATGGTGGAAGCTTTTACTTTCGGGACTTCAGCATTCTACTGTTGACTTACCTACATGGTTGAAGTTCAACACCGTGTTGGCAGTTTCGTTTTGCAAAGAAGCCGAAGATGGCCGACGTTTGGGAAAGTTGTTTGGCTCATGACGTCACCCGAAGCTCATCATCGACCATGCAGGTAGGTCAACAGCCGAAATTAGGGTGATGACTGTTGCTCCCTTATAATTGTCCATAAGGAACTGTTGAATCCCCGAAAGTAAAAGCTTCCACCTGTCGCCAAGGGGCCAGTGGAGGGTCTCTTGTCTCTGCTTCCATCATGGCCAGATACTAGTGGAGGGTCTCTTGTCTATGTTCTCCATCCTTGTTTATCGACAATTAGGAGTTAATCCGTTCTCATTGGGTCCAGCGCGGGCATTTGTTAGGTTTTCAGGAGACGTGGAGTCGGGTCTCATCGACATCGTCTCCCCGCCGGGGTCCTTCTACCCGGACTTCGCGGCGCTTCCCCGGGCCACCGGGATCGGTGACGACCTGCAGCGCTTCACGTGGCGCTCCAAGCAGAACCTCGACTACGGCTTCCTCATGATGTTCGCCCTCGACCGCGGGCGCTACTACATGCAGCTCGAGGACGATGTCCTCTCCAAGAATGGCTTCGTCTCAACGGTTCTCCAATTCGCCGCCGAGAAGACGCGCACCAATCCGGAATGGATCATCTGCGACTTTTGCGAGCTCGGCTTCATCGGTGAGCATCAAACCGGTTTAGGAGCACTGGAAAAAGAAACACATTGGATCTCTCTTGAAAACATTGAGAAGAAAAAATACTCTTGATTCAATCAGATTTAAGCTTAAATCAATAGGAAATCCGCTCAAATTAAGAGTCTGGGTTCTTGATTTAAGCTTAAATCTGATTGAATCAAGAGTATTTTTTCTTGTCGATATTTTTAAGAGTCTGGACTCTAGATCCAATGTGTTCTTTTTTCCAGTGAGAGATACATCTAATGCCACAATCATACGCTGAATGTGTTCTAGTATCAGTGGCTGTTGAGAAAAGATGTAAAAAATTCGTAAATTTTAAGAGATCTCTTAAAATTCACTTTAAAACCACTTGAAAGTTACATAAAAAAACTCTTGAAATATCCGTATAATGAAACTCCTTTTCGGGCTTTTTTTACATAAATTTGTAGAACAATTTTAAGTAAATTTTAAATACATTTTTTACGTAAATTTCAAGTAAATTTTACGCATTTTTTTAGCTTCCTGCGGGCAAAAACGAGGGGAAAAAGTGGTGAGCAGAAAAGTATAAGAGGAACAGTTGCAGCTCATAAAAATTGAGGATACAGTTTATTGATTTTTACGTAAATTTTACGTTTTCTTTTAATTAAAATATCACTATTTTTTTACTTAAAAGAATTCCCCAGAAGGGTTTCCTAAAACGAGTATTTTAAGAGTTCTTTTACTCAAAAATTTACAAACTCTTAAAATTTATAAGTTTTTCAAACTTTTTTGGACAACTTTTTGTAGAAATTTTTTTAAGACCCATTGCTACTAGGGTGAGAGCTGAATGTAGAAGACTCTTGGAAATCGTTTGGATGATAAAAAATCGACTGATTTTATTTCAATTACATAAAAAGGGATGAAGGTTGAAAAAGATATCGTGCACGACGTCATGCCCAGGCAGTTATGCTGGTATGGACATGTGCAAAGAATGTCGGCGAACAGGTTGCCCAAACAAGTTTATTAGGATTGGGTACAGCCTGAGAAGAGGCGACGGGGACGTCCCGCAAAGGGTTGGCGGCAGGGCAATGACTGGGAGATGTTACGGTGTTTTCAGTTGCCCGATAACCTCTGGGAGGACAAGCAGATGTGGCGTTTGGGTGTCGCAGGACGCCAGAGTGCGTTGTAGGAGCGACTTTAGATATACACATACAAGGGGCATTTTTCATTTTCATGTTAGGGTAGTGTTAGGCAAGACAGCCGTAAGTGCAATAGTCTGAATGCTTTCGTGGTTACGTTTTGGACACACAACACACAACAAACACATTTTCAGGTTAGAAATTGGCAGAAGAGGGTGGCACTTCACTTGAAAGCATTGTTTGCATTGGCTCTCGGGAGGAATAATGTCACTTACGGCTGTCTTGCCAGAAACAACGTCATGTTTTGCGCACTAACGGCTTTCTCATACGTCTCGTTTTTATACAATTAAGATAAACTTTGCTGTTTTAGCTATTTCAGCGATTTTATCCAAAAGAGATTGGACGGATTTCGAAGGAAACTCGATTTCGAGAATTTGAAACTTACTGCTCTCTCCGCAATCACGGCAGTGTAGGAGTACCCTCTTATGGATGGTATGGACTCAGCTACCGTGATAGCGAAGAGAGCCTTAACTATATCAAATTTTTAAAATACAGTTTTTTTTTTTTCCAATTTGGCTGCTCCAAGATTTAGTTGAAACGATGCCCATATCCTCATTTTATTCTACACCCGATGTAGGAAGAACCCAGATAAATTAGGATTTCTCTGTAGCAGGCAATTAGAGATGGCAAATATCTCTTCAAATTCCTGGGAAAACCTCAGAATGTGGAGACCCAGTTAATAATTTCTGTGTGATCCAGAATTTTGAGAGGATAAGTTCACCAACCTAACGATTTTTCTTCATTTATACTTTTAAATTTTTTTCATATGGCTTCTAAGGTTGAAATTTTTAAATTATCTGAGTTTATGCAGCACAGGGTCGCAGAATGCGTGGTTTTTTCAAGACATGAAAAAATGATTGATTTAAACCGGACTACGGTTAGAAATGTTTTTACCTATTTAATGTATTCTAAGAATACGTTTAAGAGACATTTTCTGCATTTCCAGCGTATATCACGATGCAAAAAATACAAAGCACAAAATCGCAATGAGAGGAACAAATACGCGTCACAGTGCATTTATGAAATTGCGAAGAAAAAAGAAAATGATATATCCCATATATCTGCATTTGATGAAACATAAAAAATAATTTCACAATATAGTATTTATCTCAGCGCTAACATCTATAAAAAAGCTAACAAATTCTTTTTATTTTTCCAGGTAAACTTTTCAAGAGCACTGATTTGGCTTGGTTGGTTGAAGTGTTTCTAATTTTCTTCAAGGACCAGCCCTGTGACTGGCTGATAATGCGAGCTATTCTGACCAAAGTTTGCAGATTTGATGAACCTAGTGTGGGTATTAAATCCCTTAAGACTGAAAATAATTGTTGTAGCAGTATTATAACTGCGTCATTTGAAATTCACAAAGCTTGCATCATAGAGTTACTGTCACGGCATTTTTAACTGGCGAATTTTCTCAGTGCACTAGGTTGACTTTTCTGTAAAATAATACACTACACTGTCATCTTGGTTATCCTGGAACATTAAATTTGTCTTTACAAAATGTTTTTTTGAAGGACTTAAGTATACTTTTGGATCATATACGTTTGCATCAGAACTACAGAAAGTGAGAGGGTTCGACTATGCGGTTGTTCTTAAAACTAATTGATCGTTTCAAAATCAATTTATTTGAATTGGACATGAATTTTTAAGAAGGTTGTTTTACATTGAGCAGAAAAAAATCAAGTGGCATTTCATTAACTAAGTTGTTGAAAAAAATCCACTGAATGCGAGATCAAAAGTAATAATTATTAATATCTCTCAACAGCCAAGAATGAGTGACCAAGACTAAGCCTTTATTGTCATGAGTTGTGGAGCCTTCTTGGAACGGCGCAAAAATTCAAAATTCGATTGGTGCGAAACATTTTTGTTGAAAAGTATGTATTTCAGAACTATTTTTTCATTGGTTTTGAGCCTATGGCCAATTTTAATAATATTTTTCATTAATTCTCAATCTATGAACTTCAAAATCGTCCGAAAATTAACGGACCGACTCAATTTTTCAGCAGAAATGCACCGCGAGAAAAAATCAAGTTTGGCTATCACACTCCAATTCATTGTTCCAGCACATCGGTGTCATATCATCTTTGCCAGGGAAAATTCAAAAACTGAAGGTAAGTTTTTTACAGCATTTATGTGAATAAGGGAAATGGTGAAGCGCCTACGCTCAATATGATTTGAAATAACATGACCTAATATTTCAAACATTACCTATCTATCATCCTCTGTAAATTTCTGAGTCATTTTGGAATACTTCCTTCCCAAAAGTGTATTNGGGGGGGGGGGGGGAGAAGAATAAACCCGTATATTAACAGAAACAAAGTTTTAATACAAATTTTTCTTGTAATTTCAACAGGAAATCAAGTGACAATACTTTTTTACGCTGACTAGAAACTTCTCCGCACTTGTTTTTTTTTTGGGATGAAACATTCACTTAGACTAAAGGAATATGTAACAACACGTATTTTTCTTTAAAAAAGAACTATTGTGGTACCCGTGCCGTTTTCATTTAGGAACTCAGTTTCTTAAAGAGACCACTGTTTCACGTTCTTTAAAGGTTATTCGTAGAAGAAAGCTCTTAAAAGCAGAGTCAAACACATCCAGTACAAGAGTAGCAAATGAAATACGTAATGTTCTTCAAGTTGAAAAATTTCTTTAGCTTTCAAGGAGAGAATTCGCCTCTGGACAGGGTATGAACTTAAGCACCACGCCACAAGGTTGCGTTTCAAAATTTTAGGACGGAAATGAATCACACACATTGGCGGATCCAGAAAATTGGCAACATTGTTTTTCTCCATTTAAACCTACGGAAATGTATCGATTCTTAGAGGGGCCAGGTGTTCCGTCAAGAATCGACTATTTAACATGGGTTTAAATGGAGGGAAGCCGGTGTTAAAAAGTTTCTGGATCCTCCTCTAATCATACAACGGGAAGTCTGGAAATCAACTCTCAAACAAGATGTAAGGATTTACAAATGGTTAAATTGCTGAGATGTAGATGACGTCATTTGTATGATGTACCTTCCGTTTGACCAGTGTCAACAATACTTGTTCGTCGCTCGTTCAAAGTTGATTTACAAACTCCCCGTCGTGTGAACAGTTTTTTGAGTAGAATTTTGAAGAGAAGATTACGGACGTCTATTTCTGGTTCAACTTGTTTAGTGGTCCATTTTGTGAAATGCACCATGTTTGCTCGAAAAAAAAGGTTATGATCTAGACGGAAAAATTGAATGCAAGCATGCAAAAAAGAATAAAAAAGAACACAAGGCATTAGGTACTCAGCTTCGCCTTAAAAGATAGAAAAATCTGAAAATTTACAGCTATGACAGCACAATACAGCTATGATACTTGTAGCTTTTTGTTTCGAACGCAGTATATTTTGATTTTCATGATATCAGATAATCAACCTATCAATCAATATATGATCAAATAATCAACCAATAAATAAATATATAATCAGATAATCAACCTTTCAATCAATATATAATCAGATAGTCAAATCTCTTTTGTGGTGTGATTACTTTTTATTACACTTTTCTTCGCTTCCAATTAAGTTATTACGTACATTGTAAGCATTATATTTCTTTACAATGTAAATATGACGTGTACCTAGCCTCCGAGAGGCTGTTGTATGAAATAAAATGATTTCTCATTTCCAATTTCTAAAAATTCATTTTAGGAATTAATATACATTTATATTATTTTCCGATAAAATACAACATTGTAAATTGCTGTCACCTAGGCCCTAGGCGTCGGTCATCCTCCAGGATCCGATCTGTTGAGCGGGCTTGAAATGTTTATCTTTGTTACTGGAATCAACTTTATTTTGACATTCCGGATCCTCGTAAAAAGTAACGTTTTTCCCTTTCGGCAAACCTCTAACTTTGGCTCTTTTGTGTGGTCCGTTGATCGTATTTTGTATGCAGTTATTACCTTTCAAAGTTTTCTGAGCCCAGTTGCCTTTTTTATCATACACGGCAGCGAAATATCCAGTTGAGAGGTGAGCAAGGCACGCTAGTACTAGGAAAGACAGCAGGAGGTACTTGTTCATTTTCTCGTTTTAAGGAGAGCTTTAGAGTTCAGAGGACCGCAACTTAAATCAACTTCTAATGATAAATTACTGAGCGGAGCCCTATATTTAAAGGCTCCCCCCCCCCCCCCCCCCCCCNCGATCAATTCTGCTTCATATGTAATGATCGAGGTATCCTTGATATGTGATTTATGGTGGCTGGAACCGAACTGTGTTTTCGTTCGTGGTGTTTATTTATGAAAATCGATTTTCTGACGCTTAATAAACGCTATTGAATCAGAAATGTCTCACTGACACGGATGGCCATGAGCTCTGAGCGGTGTCATCGATATTGATCGCCGGAATTCGGAAATATAGTGAAACTGTTTGCGAGAATTTGGGCCGACCGCGTATAAGGAAAGGCCGGCATTTTTTGGATCACCAGTGCCCATATCCACAATTGAAGTCGAAAAATGGGTCTCAGTTGCAACCAGCGGCGATTTTTGTCATTGTTTTGCTGCGAACTCGAAGGCCTGAATATAAGACAAGAGAAATGGGTCAAATTTACCGAAAACTTGATTCTTTTTTAAACTTTTATCCATAGGTTATGAATCAGCGGAAAAAAAGCTCGCGTTGCTACGCGAACGAAAAAGAAGCAAATGAAGTTTACTTTAACGTAAAAAAATGTAATTTGCTCCCAAATTTGAAGCGGATGCAATTTTCTAAACTCTCTAATCGCTTAATTTTAAGTTTATAAAATATGTCCAAAAAGTTCTGTGTAAAGGCATCGGTATATAAGAGAAATTAAAAAAAAATTAAGCTATTAGTTTGTCTGCTTTGAGAAAAGTAAACATTGGGCGGCTTCGCAAGGTCATGGCTAGAGATAAACATTGTCTCACCTCGCCGTCGATTTACATTCTGTTTACTTCTAAATACAGACAATGGGACATTCATAAATTACGTCACGCTGTGCGTGGAGAGGTGAGAGAGGGAATATAGTCAGACGACCCTCCCTGCCGAGATACGGCAAACGAGTTTCACCGAAAAACCTTCAATTTTCTGCACAAACCACAAACCGTTGGGAAGCTGTTTGTGAGGTTATAAACACATTTTTGATAACATAGATAAGGGCTGATATGCTGATAACAATAGTGCAATCATGAAAGAAATAGACTATTTCTTCCATATTTCATGAAATAATTAATTTTTTCTTAGCCAGATTAGTTCGGTACTAGAAATTCAAATTCAAAGCTATTCACTCGATCCAGGTTCTCCAATTTTCGTGTCACTTTCATAGTTCTGTCGTCAAAAGTTCAAATCTTGGAAAATCTGTATAAGTTGTACTTATCCCTATTTATCGCATCGTGTTTCTTTTACAGCCAATTAGTATCAATCAATTTTTTGTTCTTTACGCTCAAACTGTATAGTACTTGAATTTTTATCATACTGTTTGATGAGTGGATAAAAATTGAGGAGTTGAATCATCGGATTCTTCAGAAAGAAACATCTTTTAATTGCATTGAGAAAATACCCGTCACACTTCAACTCAACAATCCGTAATATATAAATTTTTGCTCACTCTTGTTTCTTACTGGAGGTTCGCCTTCTTGGGCCCTAATATTCTGGATCTCTATGTTTAGATGAGTGACATCATTATAAGAGCCAAAGATTCAACCAGCAATTCTTGATATTCATTCACCTAAGTACAACTCAGTAAAGGATTCAGCCACCCTCAATTAAGAATGAGAGGTCATATTGATGGTGCAAGTGTGTTCACAAGTTTTTAACTTTAATATATCATAATTGTATACAAAAATGTTGAATTTCCTTTCCCTTCTTTAAAGCGATTAATCTTGTATACTGTAAGTGAAACTTTATCTCGCTCAGAAATTTCTTTACAGCCAATAATTGTTTTACTGTTCACAATTTTCTCTTAGAGAGGAAAATGAGCTTCATCCAATGAACTCAGACTCGTCCAAGTGATTGTGAAAATTTTGGAACTAACCAGATATTTTCGTGAATAACACGAATGACACATTTTTCCTCTGTGTATATGGGCATCATTGAAAAAAGCTTATGTTATTTATCATTTTATTTCTTTGATCTCCTGTAAGAAAGTGACACATTAGGCTTTAAATTTTTTCATGACGCTGCTGATCAGCTTCTTACCGTTTTTGCAATTGGGGAAAAATTACAAATCAAATGAGATTTGACTTGCTCTCAGTATGCTTATTGAAGAAAAAAAATAAAAGCAGGGCATCTCGGTTTTTGTGCAATATGATCGACAGTCTCCTCGTCAAAGACATCTAGGCATCCTTGATCAAATCAAGCTATCAAATGGCTAAGGCCGGAAACTTTTTCTTTAAATAAAAATGGCCCACTTGTATTTGATGAGATGAGGGAACACCGATTCACCAGCTTAGCTATATCAATTACCTGCGGGCTGCTGGTAAGTATTTCGAAAAAAAGTCTCTGACCTCGTCCATTTGATTTTAACTCTGAAATCTCTAGTAAGTAGGTAGTACCTGCTCCTGCCAATGCTTTCAAGCAGATGTTACTTACTTATCACTTGGTCGACTTGACTGATTTTAAAAGTAGCTATTGAAATACTCATGCTTTGATTCTAGCATGCCATCATGTTTCGTGATGGGAATGTAGATAGAAATGTAATGTATAGGTAACAATAATCAAGGAAAATGGGGCTCAAGGTGAAAGCACACAATTTTCAATTATCAAAAACAATGACCAAAGTTATCACTCTAAGCCCAATTCACATACACTATCAGTCTTTTTATCCAACATTATCTAATTGGACGAAAAGTTGGATAGTGTGATACTGACGCGATGAAAGACAATTTGATGAAAAACAGAACAGAAGCTTGAATGTGATGTCACATTCAACGTGGCGCCTCCAATTGGATGGAAAGAAATCGAATGAAATTTTTATTGTGTTCAACTTTCCATCCTACTTTTCGTCCAATTATGTTGGATGAAAATTTTGATAGTGTGAATTGGGCCTACCTATTTTCTGTTTCCCTTCTAAATACCTCCATGAATATATGATTCAAACTTTAGGTCCTTTTCTGCCGAACTCAATTACACACGGACTAAGTAGGTATTTAGGTAATGTAGATGCACCAAACTTGAACCGTAGGAAATAGATTCAAAGGTTTATTCCTCTACAATGATGAGGACCAAGTTTGAGGATTTTTTGCAACGTTAAAAATATTTTGACAGAGAAAAATTTAAGGCTCTTGTTTAATGCAAAACTACACCCAAGTCATTTTTTCCACAATGCACCTAGCATTGATAATGATTGCAAGGATCGAAAAGCTTCAGCTATAATTTAATAAATAATCTTTCTTAACACCTTGGTGTCATGTATTCACATATTCCTGCTATAAGTAATGCACTTTATTGCATTTCTGTCAAACTATTCGTTCAAATGATGATACTGCGATGTTGCTTACAAGTTTCTAGGAATTTTAAGGAACAATGAGTCAAAATTGCATCACGACATCAAGTCTAATGATATTGAGATCGTGTCAGTAGTTCAGCATCAATATTGCTGGATGAAAACCCAGTTTGCTTATGAGGAAAGCATCAGTATTTGCTGCTCTCAATTCGAACTTTATCAGGTATTGCGCAACATGTATGAAATGGTAAGAAAAGAGGAACTAATCTAGCCATCATAACCAGAGACAAATCATGATGGGTGGGTAACATGGCAAAATGTAAAGTATGTAATAGTAGTGTAACAGAATGGTACTATGATCTTCCTGGCTAAGATTCTCACTGATACTTCATGCATCCTTGGAAGCATTCTGTTTTGACACAAACAGAAGCTTCACGAAAATTCAAATGAGTAGCTCATGTACATAAAGGAAAAATATGTAAAATATATACATTACAAAAATATAGACAAAAATACAATGGCAGTGAGTGATAGTGATAAGAAGAAATCAGTTTCAAAAGCGCGGTGTTTACGTTGAGATAGTTGAGAGGTGACACTCCTTGGTGTACGTTGCTTGTCGTTTGCCGCATCTCAGCAGGAAGCAAAAACCAATATAGTCCAACCTGACGCAAGGTGATTGAAAGGTTCACCATCAGTGACGTTACGCAAAACATTGATGGTGACAAGGCTGACAGTGTCCCAATCATTAAATAATCCTTTAAATCGTCGCTTGGCTGACAAAGGGGCGTAACTACACATTTAGCAGTGGCGTGGCGTGCTTTGCAATATATCGATTGATCGGCCATTTAAACCTATAGAAAACTATCGATAAACAGGGTGTTTGCAGCGAACACCTTAATAATCGATTCTTTACCATAGGTTTAAATGGCATAACAATCGATACATCGCAATTCACGCCACGCCACTGACATTGAGATGAGCCCGGGAAAGCATTGGGTTAAATGAACGACAGAGCTCATCGCGAAATGCGGTTACGCCTTTATGTCAGGAGCCCAAGTAGCATTTTTCGACGGAAAAATTGGGATGTATTTGTAATTTTATCGGTGATAAACTCGCTATGATCATCAACATCTGAACGATTATCCTTGATCTTTTCAGAATAAAATCGCGATTTCATCGCCCGGTAATTTATCGCGATATTATCGCAACAAAAATCGCGATATATGTCGATTTAATCTCGATTTTATCGACGAAAATTGACCGCGATTTTATTGAACAAAAAATTGCGATGCATAGCGATTTAATCGCCATTAATCGCAATTTTTTATACGATAATATTGCGATAAATTGCCACCTATATAATCGCAATAATCAACCGATAAAATCGCTATTTATCGCGATCATTGCTACTCGGGAGAGCTCTTCGCGAAATGCAGTCACGCCTTTATGTCAGGAGCCCAAGTAGCATTTTACGACGGAAAAATTGGGATATATTGTAATTTTATCGGCGATAAAATCGCTATGATCATTAACATCTGAGCAATTATCCTTGATCTTATCAGGATAAAATCGCGATTTTATCGCCCGGTAATTTATCGAGATATTTTCGAAATAAAAATCGCGATAAATGGCGATTTAATCTCAATTTTATCGACGAAAATTGACCGCGATTTTATCGAACCAAAAATTGCGACGTATTGCAATTTAATCGCCACATATTGCAATTTTTATTACGGTAATATCTCGATATTTTGACACAGATAAAATCGCGATAACCAACCGATAAAATCGTCATTTATTGCGAGCACTGCTACTTGAGAGGGCGGCGAGATGAAGGCAACGAAACTTTCTGTTTTAGTCGGAGCATTTCGGGAAACTGCAACTGTTCAAGCCTCACAAAAATCCAGAAGCTAACACTCAAACGTCCATCAGCGAGATCATGGGCACCTATCACACCATCGATGCGGCCTACAGGGGCCGAAATTTCTTCTGGGGAAGGGAGCCCAAAAGCAAAGATTACATCTCCTTCCGGTTCAAAAGACCAATCAATTTGACTAGGTAAGTGTAAATCGAGTGCGCTTTTAAGAGTCGCTATACAGTAAGCAATGTTAAAATGATCCCAATAGCCAAACCAACCAAAAAAAGCTATAACTTTATCACAGTCACTGACTCTGAACCTGAGTCGGTCACGCAAAAAAGATGGCTTCACATTGAGTGAATTATTTCAATCAGTTCCTATTTTGAAGATAATTTGAATCGAATAACAATTTAGTGTGATAAAATGTTGCTCTGAATGTGCATATTTGTACTGTATCAAATCCGTACTGCTGTGCTAAGGAAGAACGCCGTATTAACCTTCAAACGGTGCCAAATTATCCCCGATGACATATCTATTTCTTAGGAAAGTTATGAATACTTATTCTTGAAATTTCAGATACTTCAGACAGGATTAAAGACGACAGTTTCTGAAAAATTCGAGAAAAATATCTCCAGTTTCCCAACAAGTTTATCAAATTTTTACCCAAATTTTATCAAGAGGAATTTAGCAACTTCTGAAAGCTCATACGGCGTTTCCCTTTAGTATGGAAGTTGAGGGATAGTGAAAGATTGGCAAAAGAGGCTCTGAAAGGAAACTTTAACAAACTGCTGAAGCTTTAAGTTAATTAAAATCTAAATTTTTGTCGAGAACCAAACTCCGTTCGAGGTCTGTGAAGTTAGCACCCCGACTTTTAAACTTTTACATTTTCTCTTTTGCTAATCATTGCTCTTCATTTGCTCACCTCGAAAATTGCTTTCATTTTTTTTGCTCAGGCATGTACCCCCCAAAAATCAAACTTGAACTTTCAGAGAGGTCATTGACCTTGGCACCCCCACATTGTCCGATTGACCTGAAAATGGTCTCAAACGACGGAGAATCATTTGCTCACCTTTGCTCAGCCCTTAGTTTTTGTTGCTCACCCCTCCGTCCCCCCCCCCAAAATGAAAGGCGGCATTTTGGGGGACATCAAAGGCAGCACCCTCACTTTGTTCAATTCAGCTAAAATTGGCGTCAAACGACGCAGGATCATTTGCTCACCTTTGCTCAGCCCTTCGTTTCCGATGCCCGAATCCCACCTTTTCCCGAAAACGAATGGCGGTTGCGAACATAGTCGGTGCGCTCCCTTTGATGTGCCCCAAAATGCTGCCGTTCGATTCGCAGGGGGAGTGGGGGGGTGAGCAACGGAAACTAAGGGCTGAACAAAGGTGAGCAAACGATTCTGCGTCGCTTAAGACCATTTTCAGGTCACTCGGACAAAGTGGGGGTGCTAAGATCAATGACCTCTCTGAAAGTTAAGGTTAGATTTTTGGGGGGTACATGCCTTAGCAAAAAAATGAAAGCGATTTTCAAGGTGAGCAAATGATGAGCAATAATGAGCAAGAGAGAAAATTTAAAATTTTAAAAGTCGGGAAGCTAACTTCACGGAAATGCGAAACCACGTATCACGTCGCAAATGGAGAAACGTCGTCTCTCATTTTGCCCAAAAATATGTATGACGGATGCACCGACTGAAGTGTGAAACCATACGTATCTCCATTGCGGTATTTCAAAATTTCCGTTCTTAATTCATCTCTTCCATGAGAAACAATCCAAATTTACGACTTTAATTTTTGAACCAAATCTTCTGCTATCGAATGCGAAAAATCATGGAGAAATTAAGTTTTATGTTGACCAGCTTCTCGAAAGAAAAATAAAATTTCTAAGGAAGTCTGCAACGTCGCAAATGGAGAAACGTCGTCTCTCATTTTGATCAAAAATATGAATGCATAAAATTGAAGGCATTATGACTTCCCTCTCTCAACTTATATTCGTCTGTATCGATAAACAATGGGACGCGTTCGCTACGGCGCCTTGATACAACTATACAACCTCGACGGATGTCCGTATTGCGTTCAAAAAATGGAAGGCGTTTTGAATCCCTGCTCGAGTGCTCATACTACCTGTAGTTGATTCGATCGACAGACGCGTTGGTCGGCGGTGACGGGGACTTGATGCAACTATTTAAACTTGATGGATGTCCGGATCGCACCGACTGAAGTGCGAAACCAATGTTTGTTATGTTAGCACCTTGACTTTTAAAATTTAAAATTTTCTCTTTTGCTCATCATTGCTCATCATTTGTTCACCTCGAAAATCGCTTTCATTTTTTTTGCTCAGGCATGTACCCCCCAAAAATCGAACTTGAACTTTCAGATAGGTTAATGACCTTAGCACCCTCACATTGTCCGATTGACCTGAAAATGGTCTCAAACGACGGAGAATCATTTGCTCACCTTTGCTCAGTCCTTAGTTTTTGTTGCTCACCCCTCCTTCCCCCCAAAATGAAAGGCTGCATTTTTCGGGACATCAAAGGTAGCACCCCCACTTTGTCCGATTGAGCTGAAATTGGTGTCAAATAACGCAGGATCATTTGCTCACGTTTGCTCAGCCCTTCGTTTCCGATGCCCGAATCCCACCTTTTCCCGAAAACGAATGGCGGTTGCAAACATAGTCGGTGCGCTCCGTTTGATGTGCCCCAAAATGCCGCCTTTCATTTTTGGGGCGAAGGGGGAGGTGAGCAACGAAAATTAAGGGCTGAGCAAAGGCGAGCAAATGATCCTGCGTCGTTTGACACCAATTTCAGCTCAATAGGATAAAGTGGGGGTGCTGCCTTTGATGTCCCCCAAAATGCCGCCTTTTATTTTGGAGGGGATGAGCGCAAAAGAGAAAATTTAAAATTTTAAAAGTCGGGGTGCTAACTTCACGGACATCTCCGTTCGGGGGTAAACATCCACACTGAAGCTTGCAGTGAGCGCGCGGGGTAGGATCATAAATTCGCAGCACCTTCATCAAACGCCATAAAAATTGCATCACTTTTTGGATTCAAGATCAAGAACGAGTTTATAATTAGCATGGATTTTCTCTCCAAACAGATACTTTCTCCAAAGTGGCAATTTGGAACATCCATCTGACCAGTTTTACGAAACTGACGTTGTGGTGTACCCGGAAAACGGAGCTGGTCCAATTTCAATCGGTAAAGTTACAGTATTTTCGCAATAATACTTCTTTGATCCATCTTTTCATAATTCCTCTCTGTTATTTTCAGTTCACAAAAATTACAAAATGATAAAAAAGAATACGAAACAATGAGGACGAGAAAGACACAGAAATAAAAAAGTAAAATTTCAAAGCACAGATTGGTCTTTAAGAGAGGAGAAAGTATATTATGCAATTACGGGGATATGACGTTATAGATATTAAGCAGACGCACCGAGTGACTTATACTGTTGGTAAGATAAGGACAGTTGAGGGGCTTGGAGGACAAGCCGCATAAGTGCAGTCTTTGTTATTTCGAGAAATGTGAGTTTGAAGTATCGAAATTACACGGATCCTAATGAAAGAAAGTTCAAACTGACTTTTTGTTGCTTAAAAATTGGAATTTGGGAGCAAATTTTTCACAGAATATGCATTAAAACTAGTTTTACTTTAAATCATGAGGAGCTCAATTTTTTCAAAAACTGCACTTATGCGCCTTGTCCTCCAAGTCCCTCAGTTGGACTGCATTTTGCAATTTGGAACTATAGATTCTAGCCCCGTTTAAAACAACGTATGTGCCATTAGTTTCCCTTCGCACATAAGTGTTTTTTAGATGAGACAGAATTTATAGCTCCAAATTGCAAAATGCAGTCCAGTTATAGGTTGAATGGCTTAATACCATTGCTTTGATTAGAATAACTTTGGTCAAAAACAATATAACTTTGCTTTGAATCACTTACATCAGAGTTATTTTGCTCCAATATGATTGATTTCGTGTTTACTTTGAATTGATAATAGGTAATGAATGAATCACTGCATTTCCTTAAAACGCATTTTACAAGACGTCAGACTACAATTATGTTTGGGTTTATAGCGTCCATCTGCTGATAGGTGTCTCTATGGATGAGGTTATATCACAAAAAATACAGGAATTAATCCACGACTTATAGGCGTCCTGAATGAAGTCGACGGCTGTGTCATGATTCCTTGAAATCTACCATAATTCAAAATGCCTCCATTTCTGTTCGGTATACAATCTTTAAGGCGTTAAAAAGTTAAAATAGTTGCTAAGGGTAAAAACAAACTGTTAGCAACGTCCGGCGCGCGATAGTCGTTAGAGCACCTCAAATTGTTATGTCACGAAACTCCGGATTTTTTCAAAACTCCTTCAAAAAAGTGGATATGCAATTTGATCTCCGGGGAGTTAGAATAGTTGCTCGAGGTCAAAAGCAAATTTTGGCAAGGATGATTTTATTTGGACAGCCATGGGGAGGATGGCGTATAGTGGTCTAGGGGTAAAGAGTTTCTACTTCTTCCCTCACTGCATGATTATACATTCAAAATGTTTGCAGGATCCTTTGATGGCGAGGGAATTGCCTCTGGCCTGGTACCAAATGAAGTGAATCCAATCACTGAATTTAAATTGGAGGTCAGGAAAAACAGTGAAAATGACGTAATTCTAAGCGAGGTATTTACGATTTTCTTCAAGTCATCATTATTATATTCATGTACTTATATTCCAATTTACTAATATGAAACAAACAAAACAACGTAATTTTAATTACTTACATCGTGAATTGTCTCTCAACAACTAAATAATTCGCTGTAATTTTCATACAAAAAGACAACGAATTTTATAATGTGTCTCTTAGAAAATAGTAAATTTGCAGTGCTTTTTAAATGGAGACTTTTGACTCAACCGGCGTAAATGCAAAATTTTAATTATCTTGGATCATTTTGTGAAATCTTTTATATTTTAGAAAATATTTCATCAATGATAGTTTTATATTTTTAAAACTCAAATACAATATGTTACCATAAACTTTACTTTCTGTGCATTGTAGTTCCCATTAGTTCACTGAATCATGATTTAAGAACTAAAAAGTCAATATCTAGGAATTAAAAACTTGATCCTCAATTATGTTCGGGTATAATTCATTGAATCACATCGAGATACACTTTTGGGCTTATTACAAACCATTTGCCGATTAAATGGTGAATAATACTATTTGTAAAGATGCGTGATTTTCAGGGATTTTTGAGAAAATAAAGTTTGAAAATTTCAGAAATCAACCGATTGGTGGACTGCCTGATCCATCTCGCAAATATTGTAAATATACTCAATAAGTTCTCTAATACAAAATTTTATAAATCTGATAACGTATTTTATATTTTCAGATTCTTCTTGAGACAGCAAGCTAAATAAACATATGAATTTGGCAATGGTCCATTATTATTGAATATTAGCACCAGACTTGAATTCTTCGCGAGGAGCACATCGAAAAAGGCATAAAGAATGGCAACAAAGCGCAGCAAGGACACCGAAAATCAGAGAATGTCAAATAAGTGGCTCCTAAATTTTGGAATGAAAAATGTAGATCATTCCTTTACCTAAATTTATAATTCAAAAGATGGGCGAAAGCAAGAGCTACAGGTCATGCTAACCACACGAGAGATCGCCAAACACTGCAAAATGCAGGAATCGCTTCAGAGACTTTAACGCAAGACAGAAAAATAAGGCTACAGACAAATGCAACTTGCTTGACGCATGAGGCAAATTTTTGCGACTGGATTTGCTTGATTTTTGGGTTAGAAGACTGTTGCATTACTGTCGGAATTTTGAGAAATCAGAATCTAGTATCTAATTTTCAACCAAATACTGACGAAAACGAGCCAAATCACGGATTATGCTCAAATAAGCGCGTTAATAAACTGGCCAACGTAACACGATCTAATCTACGATACAAAATATTATACAAAAATGTACAAAAATATGTGAGCTTTTTATACTTTACTCTGTCACCATCACCTCACCACGGTTGTTGTTACTCAGTTGATGTTATTTTCACACAGAACACCGCCATGTAAGAAAAGTTGGTTGATTTTCGAGGTTTCTGGTGAAACCGTTTATTCCCATCCACTTTTTGACTCCCTTCCGGAGATGGAATGAGAAATTTTGGATTTGGTTCAGACACCAGTCGCTGATGAGCTCAACAGACTAGTGGATTGGATTTTAAAAAATGTTCTGCATTAGGATCGGCCGAAAAAGTCAACCAATCCACTTGCGAAAATTCGCCTATGGAAACGTCATCTTTGAAAAATTTGCTCTCTCTAAACCACACCCAGAGATTTTCAGATTAGCGGAAAGCCTTTGCGCTCCACCTCTTCGATCGGCGAAAAACTCGATTCGAATTGAGAACGACAGATCAAAGTTGTAAATGAGGCTACATTGAAGGAAGAAAAAGAGCATTTGGAAAATGTTTTGAGAAAAACTGTACGAACCACGAGCATTTATGCTGAGCTTTGTGTATTTAGACACATTTTCAGACTTTTAGCCGCACGCGTGCATACAATACGAGACCTGTCCCATCGCCCGAAAACGCGATTTCAGCTCAAGTTTTTAATCGAACTCCGAAACCTCGGAAAACCAAAAGTATCCGACGGGCTATTTACTAAGCTCAAAACAAATCCTGAAGATTGTTTTAAATACTAGCCCCATTTCCATTGTAAGCAAAAGCGGCTGAGAAAATCGAAATATTTTCCGAGAGGTGGCAATTTTCAGCAAATTGAATTCTTAACTACGACTCGATTTCGGAGCCTCATAAAGCGCTACATTCGAGGGGAAAGCCTCATTTTGTGTTGTATGTTGTATTTTCTTACGTCGTCATGCATAAATTCAATTCATGGAAAATTACAAGGTAAAATAAAATGAAATGATTGTAAGAAACTCACCTCTCTCTTTTTATTTTCCTCCGGAAACGGATTTCAGGTCCTGGTTTGACCCATCTTCAGCTTGCGACTTTACAAGGTAAAATCATAAAGTACAATAAAGTCGCAATGTTCTGGAGCGCCGATGAAGTCACTTTTTGAGGCTGTTTTGTCCAGTACTCCTGAGACTAGTGTGCGGCGACTGGCAATGCCGTTTGTGCGATCCCATCTCCGGTCTTCGCTCAGAAAATTCAAGTATAAAATGTATTTCATAAAAACCGGGAGTGTAATACATTTTTGAATTTTTTATGACTTCGGCGAACACAATTTGCCAAAATTCGCAGAAATAATAATTGATTTAAATGAATAAATCCCGAAAACCACTTGCAGCCCACGATTCTCCCTTAAGCCGCCGTGTTAAAAAATGCCGAACGGTCCCCAGATGGTTCCCTCTTTCCGGCGAACAAAGGACTCGGAATGGCCCGTCCATGGATTGACTTCATCGGTGCTCCAGTACATTGCGACTCTATTGTACTCTATGGGTAAAATTGACGAACGAAAATAAAAAAAAATTAAAAAATGTACACTGAAAAAAAAGTAGCTTGGATCAAGCATGATGATTCTTGAATTTGCCGCCAATAATTTTTTTTTCTTGCTTTAAGCTGACTTTTTCTTGATACAAGAAAAATAATGCTTGGGTTAAGCAAAAAAGTAGCGTATGTTAACCAGAAAAATTCTTTATTTAAGAAGAAATACTTCTTGGCGGCAAATTTAAGATTCTTTTTTCCAGTGTAATATGCGCAAATCGGTACCTCAGGAAATTAAATATTTGAAATGCGATTTGGACATATGGAGGACCCCCTCTGGATCCGCCTATGATTTTTTTATCATATGGCGGATCTAAGGTTTTCGAGACGTTAATTACACACAAGCTAAACGAGTACGTCATTTTTCTCACAGACAATTTGGGTTTCGCTAGGGTATACATCGATGGAAAATAGAACAAATATGTGAGGGATTTATGAAACGTAACAAACAGAATAAGTGTTTTTCTCTTATAACACTTTGGGGTTCGTTAGGGTATACATCGTTGGAAAATAGAACAAGTATGTGAGGAAGTCATGAAACGTGATACAACAAACAAAATACTTGTTTTTCTCTTTTCCATCGATTTGCAACTATATGTGACCTACTTTTAAGTCATGCGCGATCCTCGGACAAGTTCTACTTGCTGCTAAATGCACAGCCAAGGCCTCAATGGGGGGGGGGGGCTGTCAGGAAAATCTCGCATGATTCAAGGTGCGAATGCCAAAAACTCTAAGTTCTCATTATTTTACACAATTTTGACAGCGGTGCCATAAAATTGTGTCCACGTTTTGGTTTGGCGATTTAGTTCTTGCTACGTTTTGCTGAACACTCTTCTCCCTCAGGTTTGTACTGATACTCATTATAGGGCTCAAAATTTTGGAATCTAATTGAAACTGTTTAACTTTTTGCCTTTGTTCCCCCCCAAAATAGTGTGGACCCAGCACTATTTTATCACCTTTTTTAGCCACTGCGTTTGGTTGTCACCATTTCTCGAACAAATTACCTATTACGTCATTACAACGTGTTCTCACGATCCAGATGAGGACATCGGAGAAACTAAACAAGAGAGGGTTCCAAGCACCCAACTACAAAAGTTCGAAATTCGTTCTAATACTCTTCGTGTTATTGCCTAGCATTGTGTACTGTGATATTCAGATCCATGACCCAACGGCACAGGATAAAGTCATTCATTTTTTGACAAAGGTATGCTCATTAACAATAGACAGTTCAAATCATCAGCTCCTCCATATCATGAACTTGAACCCTGATTTTGAAATCAATGGTCTTCTTTATAATTTACATTTAAACTCAATCCAAACTTCTTACGTAGACTGTATGCAGACCCTAAATGATTTATTCACAATCAAACGACCAAAAAGCATCCTTTTTGTCTTGAAAGATCTCAGCAATATTATAAATTTGATTTTGGGCACTCAGAATTTTGGGAAGAAGGTGCAGAACTTCTCCGAATATGCAAGATACGACTACACTACAATTGATTTTAGCGAGATTGGTCAGTTAGGGGCACTGCCTAATTATTGCATCTTTCACAGTCGGAACTTGAGTAGCGTAATTCGGGACCCACGAAGACCATGCGATAGAAGACTGCCAATCTTGGAACAAGACCTAATAGCAGACTCTGTTCTTTCCGATAAAAATTTTGGCCATGTTCGTGGCTTATATGCAAACAACATGTGGAATTTCAAAAACTATCTGATATTCTTTTTGCACACGACGGAGTCCAAATACATAAATGTTACCCTTACAAGACAGCGAAATATTTTCGAGTCGGACGCCGGACATTCTCAGTTGGTCTTCGTATTCAAATTCATTTGGCGCATGTTTCGAGGACACAAATCCATTGTATGTTTCCAAACGGCATGCTATCATTACGAACCCTTTCACGAGGAGATCCAGAAGTATGGTGGTCTCCACGGCGAAGTTTTCTTTGATTTTTCCTGGTACTCCATGAACGGAAAAACGTTTACATTTTCCATCGAGGAACAATACGCATCCATCTTCCCCAACGACTATTGCCCTTTTGACACCAATTTGTTTGGAAAAGTTGTTGAGGAGATGGTTCACCGACGCAACGGTGTTGTCAGTTATTTACTTCCTGCTATGTTTGATGTTCTAGACGAAGAAACGCGAGACTTTGAGACTGGATTGAAGTACGGTTTCGATCTCGTTGCGATTCACTCCGGATTCTCACACATGCCGAACTTGGATAATTTTGATGTTTCTATATTTCCCGAAACATGTCATGTGACCCTCAGGGTACCGCGCTACGATTTTGTGCCCCAATACATCGCCGCGTTCAATTGTTTCTCTCCTACCCTCTGGGCCTTCGTTCTCGGAACATTGGTCATTTTCATCTTGATTCACATCTTGAACACTGAGGTCGAAAGAAAATGTTTCCCTCGATTTTACCCGGAGCAGGATTTACCGGAGCGGAGATCTCTCTCCACTTTCCTCACCATCGTCAGATATATTCTGGGAATAAGTCAACCTCGCATTACCTTGCTCAAGTTATGGTCGGGAAAATGTTTTTTCTTCATCTTCGTGTTTTCCATGTTAATCTTAACCACCTTATTCCAGAGTGGGATAGTCACGTTTCTAAGCGTGCGAATTCGCCACGCCGACATAGACGCGCTCAAAGACATAGAGGAGTCCGATTTCGTGGTGGAATCCATCGACTACGAGTGGGATACTCAATTTCTCGGGGACGAACCGCAGTTCGACTGGATCAAACGGAAATTAACGGATGGCTTCCAATTCAGGTGCGGAGACTTCGGCTGCTCCTTCGAGCTGGATGTCAACTATTTCCATTTGAACGAGTCAAACAGCGAGACCAACTACACTGCTTTGGAGGAAAGAGAGATTGACACGATGTTAAAATCACATGCGTACATTGTAAGGGTCCCCGGTAGATCTGCTGAGCATAACAACATGGTGTATTTCGATGTGGTTACCGGACGCGAATACGAGTTTCACGATGTGGCCGAGCGTTTGATGAGCTATCCGTTCATGGTTTTCTCGGTGAAAAACTCGATTTACCTGGAGGCCATCAACGATGTTCTGACTCGTTTCTTCGAAGGAGGCTTCGATGAGCCAGACTCAGATGTAAAATCTGTTTGGAAAGAGAACTATGTGACAGTCGAGCGGGGGGGCAATACAGAGGATCCGAGACCTTTCTCTCTGATCGATGTTAAGTTGGCTTTTATTTGGCTCGGAACGGGATTGACAATGAGTGTCTGTTGTTTCGTCATCGAGCTGTTCAGGAATCTGCAATTGTAAGCAATTTAAGTATCCACAATTGAATCAGTGAGTTCGAAAACACACCAACTCGGTTTTTTTTTTTTTCGATTTTCACTTTTTTACGGGTTGTAACACTCATGGATAGAAGCATCTACACGTAAAAGGAACATTCGAATTTGCAATTGGAAGTGCTCGAAACACCGACGGGAAAAGGGAAAAATCGAAGTATTTCATTGGAAATACCAATTTTTGGCCATTTCAAGTGAAACGGGTGAACATCCAATTTTGCGGTTTTCTTTTTTCGGTTCAGTATACTTTGTACCAACAAGTTATATAAATATACAAGCGTTATTCAGGTCAAAAAATATAAATTTTTCAGGGCAGACTATGAAAAATCAGTATCTGAAAGTCGGTGAGAACGAAAACACACCAACTCGGAAATTTTTAAACGCAATAATTCTCTGTCATCAAACATGGTGTATCGATTTCAACTTGGTGCTTTACAAAGTCTCTAAGTACTTATCCTTTGGCACCAGAAAGGTTTTTCTTAAACTAACTTCTTCGCCCGCTGCGCAGTTTTAGGTGTTTCCTGAACAATTTTTTTTTTTTCCCGCGTTGGTGTGTTTTCGAACTCACTGATTCAATAGACCACTAGACAAGGTACGAATTTAAGCATTCTGATACATGTTTTTTAACCAGAATTTCACGTAGAATACGATTCGCGCAACGAAAATTACTGAAACCAACTCCTAACGGAGATATTAACATTTTTATTTTACATTGGTCACGCGGATTTTGAACTGCCCGCTCACAAGAAACTCAAGGCTCTATGTGAGTCAAATCACGCACAAGAACGGTTTCAGCAAGCTTCTCAATCGAGCAATGTTCATTTCCCACCATGTGTTTTTCAAACTATAAGTAATTTGCTATAGCTGAGCCAAAGTGTCAAGATTGAGGTTGCCAGATTTTTTTATCGCAGAGACGTTCATGATAACGTTTAGCGAGCGATGTGAATCACGTAGAGCATTGAGTTTTCATGAGCGGGTGGTTTGAATTCACGCACCAAGAATTATATTTGGAAGAAGTTGATTTCGATAATATTCGTTGTGCGCATCGTGTTTTACGTGAAATTTTGGTGAAAAAACATGTATCAGAATGCTGAAATTCGTACCTTGGCCATTGGTCCATTGTCGATGCGCTTAATGCGGTAATTCAGGATTGCGCGAAAGGTCTAAGAAAATATAAGATGACTAGCAACCAACCCGTGCTTCGCACGGTGATAAACCGTCATTAATGAAATTACACCATGTTATAACAATAACTTTTGTATTAATATATTTTACTATACCTATTATGCCCATATTTATATTTTTTAATATAATTATTCAGAAGCTACAAAATATTTTTACATATAGGNTGACGTTAATAAAAGGTGGAAGTTCGGCAAAACAGGGAAAAGTCGGAAAATAAACGCATTTTTATGTTAACGCTAGTTTAGGTTAGTTCTTTGACAGGTCATGATGTCTTACCCTCTGATGATAAATGATGTGAAAAGATTTGAATAATGTTCGTAGGTATGAAGAACTTTCCTGACTTTTCTCGGAAAATATATTTAATCGGGAGAAACGAAGGCAACGATGGAATGCTCATGCGGCGTCGAACACAGCATGGACCTTTCAAGCTCTATTATTCGGCCGCGATTATTCTTACATGAGTTCGAATAATCGCACCAAACATAGTGCGGCCGGCATTAAACGTACATCAGCGCCTGCAAGACTTTAGGAATACTTCACGCATTGCGCCAAACTGAACGATCGGCGTAAGGCAGCGCCTACAAGACTGCATGAATACTTCTCGCATTGCGTCAAACGTAGTGCAGTCGCTCAGTTAGCGTGAAACGCACATTAGCGCCTACAAGACTGTAGGAATGCTGTAGAACTGCGTGTCATTATTCTTGACTTTCTGCTCCAGTCCGTATATAAGACCGCGTGTCATCATTCTTGACTTTCTGCTCCAGTTTTAACCATAATTAAAGGAATAATATGTATTTATTGCAACAATTCAGAATTTCGGATTTGATACCATTTTTAATTAATACCATAATTATTTCATGTAATGATTCCAATTATATTAGCTCCTTGAAACAAGAAAACATTATTTCTTTTGTCCTCCTCTTCCCTTGATTAGGGTATAAGTCTTGTTCATCGAGCCATTACGGTATCAGGCACATTTTAAAGGAATAAAATTGATAAATTTGATGAAATTGATACAAATTAGATCCAATTCTGTGCCTTTGTTTTGGCTGGTCGTCATGGCATCCATTTCCTTCGTTGTCGTTCAACCATACACATTTCTGCTGACCTATCATCCTTTATTCTATCTGCATGCTTACCGTAGTTACACTTGGACCGCGTTCAGCAGAAAGAAACCAAGCTACATCAGCTATTGCCAAATTTAACTTGGCTATTAATTTTTAACAAGAGCACGTTTGTTAGGATTCCTTTGAAAATATTAAGGAATTTGCTTCGCATTATTAGGCAGAAAATTCACTGAAATTTTCACAAAAATCTGCACAACCATTTTCATGTAAAAAGTTAAATTGCCCAGTTACATTTTGCAATAGCTGATGTGACTTGGTTCCTTTCTGCTTGACGCGGTCCACTTAATCTCGTACAGGAAATAAAAAATATGCGAGACTTGTATTCAATTTTTTAAAATAATATTATTTATTTATCCATCTTGAGTACTGCACATGTTACTATCACCTTTGGTCGTTTGTCCTGATTGTACATCCGCCTCTGAAGGTAAATGGTCATCTGAACAATTCGTCTCCCTGTATTTATAACGCACGGACAATATGAGAAGCAAAATCACATCGAAAACCATGAGCCCGGTGAAAAACAAAAACTGATGCGTCTGTAAAGAAGAGAACAAAAATAATTGAATGTTCTCCTTTTGATGATTTTGGAGTCAGGTGAACAAGTATAAAAAATACTCGAGGGTTTATTTACAATACTAATACGAGTTAAATCAATAGTGTTTGCACCATTAGTATAACACGCCATATCGTTTAAGTAAAAAAAAAATTGAAATATATCAATGCATTGAAAGGCCACTGAATCTCGTAAGCCCCGCCATCTGAAGAAATCCAAGAGTTTCTGAAATTCTTCACCACCTGGTTGACAAAAAATATCCTGCTTTAAAAAGTAATGATCGGATATACTTACACTGAAAATAAAGTGAAGTTGACGTAACATTCTGGATGTAAAAAAAGGGTGCGAGAACTTATGAAATGCTGAATTACTCCGCTACAGCAGTTACTTCAGCAAATGCCAATATGTAAAACTAACTGATGTGACGGGTAATGCAGCATATTTCATAAGTTCTCACACACTTTTTTAAAATTCAGAATGTTAAATCAACTTCACTTTTTTTCGGTGTAACCAAAATTAGTCTAACTGCTAACTGCAAATTATGTTGCCGAATCCCTCGCCGTATTATTTTATTTTTTGAACAGAACACTAAGTATCATTTCGCCTCGAGTTAACTGATAACTCCTACTGTCTCAGAGAAAATATTTGTCTTCTCTTTTTCTTGCCTCCTGCAATTTAATAGCTCTACATACCCGGCTCTTGAAAAATTTAGCTGCTGAGATGAAGACAACAAGGACGTCGGCTAGGGAGACACTCATATTCAGAACGGAGGACATGATCGATTTCATCCTGTCCGGAGCCTGCGGGAGGAATTAAACAGACATTTGATTAGTAGTTATAGAAAACTAGGGGGCTACCCCCCTTGGCCGCTACGCGGCCCAACCTCCAGATGGCACTTCGCACTTTCTTAAGCGCGCTTCGACAAAAGAACGACCAAAAAAGATTTTCATACCCGATTCTCATTTGTCCAATCTCCCTCTGGAGGAACCGATTGGACCAATAAGAATCGAATAAAAAAATTAGCATTTATTTCAAACTTTACGTAAGACTAAAACGAAACGGAATGGAGCGTTTCGTCACTTTTCGATAGTCTGTAGCAAAGGAGTATACCTTCGATCCACTTACTCAACTAACAGACCAAGATTCAACATTTCCCGCTTCCTTCAATTTTCCGGTAGATTTGAAATTCCCGCCATTTTTCTGTGGCGGGAATGTCAAATGTCGCCTCCTTCCTATAAGCTCTCTCGATTGAGCACAGGGGAGAATTTCATAAGCGCTGCCGCCCGCGGCGCACTATGGTCCAAGACTCAAGAATAGAAAGAAATAAGTCGGAAAATGAAAGATCACGAAAGTTTCGTCACCGATGTGACGTGTTTTTGAGTCATTAATTTTGAATTTGATGTCAAATTGCTTACATTTTAACACCCTGACCTATTCATTGTGGGCAAGTTTATAGCATGCTGCGACGCGGCACGGCCGGCGTGCTGCTAGCTGGAAACGCGCACCGACGCCTACAAACCTAAAGGGATACTTCAAGCATTGCAGAATGCGTGAAGTAGCCCCTTAGGTTTGTAGGCGTCAGAGCGCGTTTCGCGCCGAGATCCGTTCGAGAATGACGTTTTAGTATTCGGTGAAAGCTTAAAAGGGGAAATATTTTAATTCACATTACAATGCGTTGTATTGGCGTAACTCTGAATTCGGCCAATTTAAACATTTCAAAAATTAAGTCATTTTACAAAGAAAACCATTTTTGAGCAAAAATATATTCAGAGTGATTGAGACGCAAACAGAGTTCATGTAAAAGTTAGCTTACAGTTGAACATGGTTATTTGGCAAGTAGAAGTGTGCCGCCAAATTTTCCTTGAGTTTTTTGCAACATACCTGTGTAAAGGTGAAAGATATGTAAGTGACGCTGAGGAATATCTCAGCCACCGATATGACAACAATTTGAGGTATTGCCCAGAATATGTGCAACGTTGCTGGAGAAGTAATTACATGCAGATTGCCAACCTGTGAATAATAGAATGTTTTTACTTTTTCAATGACAATGACCAATGACCATTAGTCTTTTGTTAGATATTGAAACATGTTCGGAGTGAAAGTTATACTTGTAACAAGATGCTGAAATGGTGCTGGGTGTCCACACCATTTCACCACCTTATTACATAATTACGGTTCAGGTTATTTCTGAGTGTTTTTTTCTCGTTATATTTGTCAGTTGTTAGAAAGAGTTTATGGCTAATAACCTGTGCCTGAATTTAGAATTATTTTAGGGACCCTATTGGGCCCCCAAATAAAATATCTAATCTGGGATCAAGCATGGGTGTACCCCATTCTTTTTTGACGAGGGGCTGTTAATTGATTGCTGCTCAGTGTGATGGTAACTTACAATTTTCGAGTCAACTTTTTGGACCACCAGTGTATAGATCCCACCACTTTCGACTAAAGTATCAGATAGAATTTCCTCATTTTGAAATGATACTCGATACCTGCAGAAAGAACCATGGAGATATACTGTTATACCAAAAAAAAGAGAGAAATTGGACAATAGAACCAAATTAAGTGTCCCAAAACACGTATTGCATTTTCTTACGAACCAACCGGAAGTATGTATGTTAAAAGGAATTGTAAGTCAATAGTGTTTACGTACCTCATAGTTCCTCTTAAGATAAGTACGTTCAAGCTACATACCTCTGCCGTCTACTCTTTCAGCAAGCTCAAAATCATCAACTACCTAAGGAAATGTATCCAATAGAGATAGTAGACAAGAAGATTTTGGTTTACTTATCCGGTTTGGAATGTCTTGTAGTCGAAGTTTTCCCTACACTTTTTCAGTTAATAAAAATGCGTTTGGCACCCTGAACTCTGCGGTAATTCAACGATTATTAACCCCCCCCCCTGGCCTTTTATTTATCAATAAGAAAGAAACCATAATATCTTATTTTCCTACTTCATAAATGTTGAGGATAACTGGAATGAATCTTGCGGTAAGAAAAAATGCTATTTTTAGCTTATTTCAGAGGAAATTTGTATTCTATAATAGTAGTCCTAATTCTAGTATTCTAGTATCATTAGTATTCTAATCTAGATTACAGACAGCGTTCATGAAAAGCCAGAAATTCTGATAAAGCAAAATGCAGTTTAACTATTTTCTGCATGCAACTCCTCATTTCGTAATTTTGAGTTTGAAAATCCGAAGTTTGTTTATGTGATCATCTGCCACTAATCCTCATCCAAAAGGTAACATTTCAATGGTATTAAAATTAGCTTCAGATCCTAAATAACATTTTTTTACTGTTCGTTTATTCCTGTTACATACCTGCCAGAGTAAACCTCCAGTAACTCCGTGACCAAATCATCTGCTTGAAGCTGGAATTTAAATTCATCATCGTACTGATTCTTCAAGACTAGAGTTCCAGCTATGTTGTAAATCACTCTTGTAACCAAACCGATAAATAAAACCGTTAAAAAAAACGATCTAACAGTTCAGTGAAAACATTTACATGGATTCCAGGGCCGGATTTAGGGGGTGGCCAAATGGGCCGCGGCCCATGGCTGCAAATCTAGGGGACGTTGCCAAATTTTGCAATTTTTTTTCGATGTTGGTAGGTATAAAAAAAATTACAAACGAGAAAAGGCGAAAAAATTTTTCATTTCTTGAGAACAAAGTAATTTCTAATTTTGTCGTTTTGCGGCGATACAAGAGACAGCACCTTCAATAAGTCGAGTTAAGAGAGAAACCTAACACGCAATTTGACCGGGAGCAGCGCGGCACAGAGAGCAATGATGAGAACTTGAGATGAATAAGAGAAGCCCTCGGCGCGGCGGCGGTCGGCATGTAAAGCATATTAGCGCCTACACGACTGCATGAATACTGCACGCATTGCGGCAAACACAGTGTGGTCAGCAACGGTCGACGCGACGTGAGATGCATAGCGCCTACAAGACTGCATGAATACTTCACGCATTGCGTCAAACACATTGCGGTCAGCTCGGCGCGGCAGTGGAAGTTAAAATTATTAAACTACATTTATGTTTGTTCTTTCATAATTTTTTCATTAATTTCTTAGATATGGAAGGCCTTGTCCACACAGAGATAGGTTTACGAAACTTCACTTTCGCACAAAGTTTCTTGAACTTTTGCTAGTAGTGTTGACAGGGCTTTCGCAAAAAATGTGTCCAACACGAGTAAACGCGTCTTACGCACCCCTCCTCCTCCGGCACGTTCAAAACGAATGAGAAAGGGGTGGCAAAATCCAGGCGGCCCACGAGTGGCAAATAGGTAAATCCGGCCCTGGTGGATTCAGAGAAAATATTTGATTTTAACAGCCGCTAGATATTTTAGGATTTTGATTGTTTATCAAGAATAAAAATTCGCTCAGATTTAAATGCGTGTCAAATTGAATACTTCCCCTGAAAGCATAATTTGTACATTGATCCAAATCCCGGCGCAACTGAGTTTTTAGACTTGGTGAAATGTTTTTCTTGACTTAAACTCATGACGTCAAAGTAAATTACTGCTGTTAGGTTTAAGTCTATGAAATTATAGTATATTCATGGCTCTAAACCATCAGTGTTATAGTTTTCTCACTTTACTGTAATTTGTTTGAAATAATGGAATATCACTTTAAAATGAAGTTAAGGGTAACGTATTGTTATTTATAAAACACGTATATGTTTAAGAAATTTCCATTAATGTTTAATACCTGAGTCTAGGCATGTTGGTCAAAGATTTTGAAACCTCGTCAAAGCCAGGAACTCTTTGAACTTCGGCAGCTCCATCGCGATTAGATAGAACGTATGATGTACTCTGCAACATGTTTCAAATAAATTTCATAGAAGAAGAGAAAACAAAAAGCTTTAAATGAAATCTTTATAGGCTATGGTAAGTCTTTAAACTATTTTACAATCAAACTTTGAAGAATTATCAAATAATTTCAATGACCGAGATTTAAATAAAAGGTACGTTACATGTAGTTTTGAGATTTATCAATTTCTTTTTCACGTTTATTTTTCCTTACACGAGATCAGTCACTGCTCGAGATCAACCAAGTTTTTGTAAAAACCTTCAAAAAGATACTGTAGTAACAATTAAGAAAAGAAACTTTACTTTGATGACCTTACAAATTCTACACCTCTAAAGGGGACCATATTATGCGGGCCGTTCCAAAATGCTAGGAACGCTAAAATGTTTTTTATTTGGAGCCATTATTCTGTGTTCTAAAATTATTTCATTCTGCACATCGTAATTGGCTCAAATTTTTGACTTGCTACGTGTTATGTTTTCATCCTTATGAGGTTTTACATATAAAATCCATATTCATTCCATGATTTTTCAATGAATCACCAATCCTTTTCGATAACTAGAGGTTGATCAAAATGTAAAAATGTTATTGCCAGCCGCTAATTTTTATTTTCTCCTTTAGATGCACAGTATGTATGATCATCAGAATTCATCACTACTGTAAATAATACACTACTCATCAAATGACTACCTTAATATCCTTATTTGATCATTTTAAATGATGAACCGCTAACCTGCTCCTCAAAAATTTGAAAATCTGTGGTCCAGTTTTTGAGTAAAGGAATTTTTCCGCAGGGCAGTCCTGAATTTAACACAAATGTTTCGCTCATTGATCGAGTTCCATTCACCGGGATGTCTGTCAACTGGAGCGATCCAAGTGGCGGAATGAAGTTACGTCCGGATATGGGAGGGTCTAGTTCAACCTGACATGGAAAACCGTTGAAAATCCTTAGCTGTCCTTGTCCCGGAGCAGGAAGTTGTGCATATGATGGCTGAAATGCAAATAAAAAAGGCCTAAGGAACTTAGTGATCGTCGGGTGAATGAGGTCAATTTAGTTTTAAAATAATACAATAAAATAAAGATAACACAATGTCAAATATTGACTCACATTCTGGTATGATCATTTTAACAGGATGACATGAGAAAATCCCCCATAAAAAAGACTTGTACTGCCGTGCTAAGGAAGAACGGCGTATGAACATTCGAGAGTTGCCAAATTTCCTCCGATAAAATGTTTAGTTTTGAGAAAAGTTATGAATATTCTTCCTTGAAATTTTCAGACACTTTAGGTCAAATTACAGACAAAATTATCTGAGAAATTGGAAGAAAAATATTTACTTTTCCTGAAAATTAGTGATTTTTCGGTTTCAATTGGTTGGTTGGTAGACACGTTTATTTGGTGCATTTACCATTTGAACAATTAACACTAGAGTACCTAAATTGAGAGAGTATGGCCACTGGTGTTACCACCTCTGATTGGCTCAGCCATCTTAGGCTGAATGGAGCCCTTGGGATCCAAAAATGGCGGACGCTATAAATTAATGTAATGCAAAATGACTCAAAATGTAGTTTTCTTTGCTTATCGTAACGAGAGATTTACCCAAATGCACTATTGCGACTTATTTACATATTTTTAAGGCTAATCGTGTGCAATTTTTGAGAAAAATTATCTTGGATGTAGTAAAGTTGGCAGCAAGTGCGGTTGATGATAACCGTCAATAGTTGGCAATAACCCCCCTCCCATCCACAAAAACCAAAACAAATCACCGCCATTTTTGGGTCCTAAGCCTCTCCATGGGGCCCAGTGGCCATACTCTCTCAATATAGGTACTCTAATTAACACCTTAGAGGCTAGATCAAAAAAGAGTTGTACAGAATTTAAAAAATTAAAAAGTAGGGGTCACAAAAGGGTTCTCTTGCAACAGAGGTGCGTTCATTCCCGTGAGAGATGCACCTTCAATTGTTTCATATGCAACACAGACAGTCAGAGAGTAGGAATAGATGAATCATGTAACCAGGCGTTGTCATTGACATTACATCACTTATGACCTCGCGTCGCGTCGCCGCGGCATGATTTCATACCAGACGCAGCCGAAGTAAGTCTAGATAGACTGAAGTTGTACCAACCTCGAGTTTGTATTCGACATAGCTTGAAATGAGGAACGCAAGTGCGCACAGCGCTGCTCCGATGTTGATGAATTGGAGTGGTCGCTTGATGCCAATTTTGGCCAGTGCTGGATACACACACCATTGGAACAACGGGATGAAGAGGATGCATAACAGGGGGTTCAGGGTTCCCAACTGGTCCGGTTTGATGACAAACCAGTTACCAACAGCTCCGTCCATTTTTGAGGCTTGGAAAACCCACGTGGATCCCTGAGGACACGGAGCGGATTTTTTTTTTTAATATATTTTTTTTAAGAGTTTTATTTATTGTAACTTCCAATTGGAGGAAGCATATACAATTATCATAAGTTAGAGGAGGGCAAAATGGACAACTTTTTTTTAGCCGGTATCTTAGCTAGTTGTTTCTCGAAGGAAGGAACGTAAACCCATTCCATGGTTGCAAAATTGACTCAAAAAATTCAAATTTTTTACAAGAATGTACCTATGCAATTTTTGTCCAAAGTTGTTGTGATTTTTGGACAAGCTCGGAAGAAAAACCAGTGGCAATTTCGATAAGAAATATGCAAGTTTTTCCAGGTAAAAATTCAATTCACCAGGAAAAATTTGGCAACATTGAAATGGAGTTACATATGTTCGTTCGGGAAACGACGAACTATGGTTGAACCCATCAACAATAAGGCCTCTTTTTTGTGGACGCTTACATTTGTTGTTCAAAAATTTAAGCTCCATAAGAATAAGTCCAGAGCTCTTCATGGCAATATAATACTTGTCAATCCAATTTGCCTCCAAAAATACTCTAGTAATAAAGTTTAATTTGGTCATTTTCTGTAGAGAAAGGATAAAAAATGAGAAAAAATATATTGAAAAATGACGATAAGTAGACAGTGGTAAAATTGCGGTTGCACGTTATGAGTGAACGAAGATTTACTCTTGAGAAGCCACTGACAATTATCTCAAAATGACATCATGAAAAAATATGTTTGAAAAATATAAATCCTGAATGAGCTTAAATCCATCGATTATTATTCTCCATACCCAGCACCAAAACTTTCCCTCCTTTAAAAAACTCTCCAAAAATTCGGCTCTTTAACACTTAAAGTTGCCAACTTCCAAGTATCGTGACTCTTTTCATCCATTTAAAACAGTGGAAATTCTTGAAAGTTGGCAGCACTGTTTTTTCCTCCATATAAATCCTTTAAAAATATCGATAGTAGGTGAGGCAAGGTGCCTCAACAAGAATCGATTGTTTTAAATACATTCAAATGGAGAAAAAACAGCATTGCCGACTTGCAAGAATCGCCTCTGATCAAAGTCTATGATTTACTACTAGTTAAGCATTCTTATTAATTATGCCGTGCCAAGGAAGAACGCCGTATGAGCCTTCAGGCGTTGCCAAATCTCCTTCGAAAAAAATCTCGAATTTTCGGAAATATTTGTGAACTTTTGTCCTCTAATTTTTGAAGAATCTTGTTCGTGATTTAATCTAAAGTTTCTGAAAATTTCAAGGAAAAATATGCATAACTGTCTGAGGAAATTAATATTTTCTGAAAGGTAATTTGGCAAAATTCGAATGCTCTTGCGGCGTTTTTCCTTAGCACGGTAGAATTGATCTCTGACTGGCTAGCACCGCACCACCTTGGTATTCCAGTCCGCGGTTACACTTATATACGATGATCCACATAGAACATAAGAGTGAATTTTCTTTTCAGTGATAGAAAACAGTTTTGTCATGGGAACGGAGTTCCCCATGATATTAGAATCGTTCCGTTGCTTTCGCTATGGGATTCCCTATACCTCTGCGACCTTGAGCGTTTCGCCCAGTCTCCGATTTTTGGTTGATTTTCCGATGTATCAAAAACCGTTGTATTTTTTAGCCAATCATGTCTCTACGTCAAGTTGTGTTGATTGCTAAAATTCGCGTTCAGCGAGTTTTAATCCACCTTGAGATGTCGTGTCTGACTGGTAAATCTGCGCAGAACCACGAAGTTCCGTTTTTAGGCAAATTCTTTTTTTTGGGAGGTTCTGATTGGTTATTTTTCGCCATCAGTTTTCTGTTCGTTGGTGCAAAAGATCGCCTACCTCGTTGCTCTTGAGAAGCCGCCATTATCCCACCTCAAATTTGAAAAATAGAAGTAAAGAAATAATAACCATCGTGCAAGGCGGAAAATTGTTCTGAAGGACCCGTTACGGATATATGAGCCAAAATCAGAACTCGATTGATGGATTTAATCCATGAATACAGAAATATTGCCTCAGTTTACTGCCGCGATAGTAAATGCAACCTGAGATGAACCTTGTGACACATGAAAGCATAGGCAAACAATGTCTCACAGAGAAATGCACTTAATCCGCTGTCTCTTAACAGCAGTGGCCGGATGTCAAGGTCGTCTTTTGTGAAGCCCCGCTCAGCGTCCGAGATCACTTAACTGTTATCTTTTCTCCATCCGAGAATGAGCGTCGAGATAGCTCAGTTGATTGAGACGCCAAGTCGGTGCATCATTCATATCCTTTTTCTTGCGAGCGGGGGTTCCAATCTCGTAGACGACAGTTAATTTCTACTGGTTGTATTGAATGTTTTAGACCAATCATCTAACAATAATTAATACTTGGCAACTTAGGAAGCACATAGGTCCCTTATGATGCGTATTCGGGCATATGTGTAGAGTAAAAATATCATACGTAGGGTGTCCCAAAAGTACCGGGACTGGTTCTGTAACTTCAAAAGTAAGATAGATACAGACATGATTTTGGTCTCATTTTAAAGATCAACTCAATACCTATCGATTAAACCCAAGATCAGCTCAATCGAATAAAAATTGACCGAGTCATGACAATTTGAAATTAGTGAGGAAAGTTTACCCCTACGGTTTTTAGGAAGATTTTTCGCTTACCAGGATTCAAAAAGTTAATATTCGTATCCACTTTCCTCCGAATCTTCCATAACTTCCTTTCGCTTTTCAAAGTACCGTCCATCAAACCGGATGCACTTTTTCATGCGCTCTTGCCACTTATCCAACATTGTTTTCCTGAATTCTTCCTCTGGGATGGAGTTGAAGAAGTTTTGAATTGCATTCTGGATTTTTGTCTTCGATACGAATCTTCGTCCGCGAAGCTCCTTTTTAAGCGTAGGAAACATCCAAAAATCACATGGAGCCAAGTCAGGGCTGTAAGGGGGATGAGGGATTGTTTCAACTCCATTTTTACTCATAAATTCACGTGTTAAGCTCGATGTGTGAGGCCGCGCATTGTCTTGATGGAATATCCACGAAGGTTTCAAGTCCGACCGTTTCCGGGAAATGTGCATTCTCAACTCCTTTAGTACTTTGCAATAATACGCACTGTCAACTGTTGTGTTTGATGGTACAAAATGTTGATAAATGACACCTCGAAAATAAAAAAACACAATAAGCATCACTTTATCGGCCGACTTTTCGATTTACGGCGATGAAGAATCTTCCTTAAAAACCGTAGGCGTAAACTTTCCTCGCTGATTTCAAATTGCCATAACTCGGGTCAATTTTTATTCGATTGAGCTGATTTTGGTTTTAATCGATGGGTATTGAGTTGATCTTTAAAATGAGATCAAGATCATGTCTGTATCTATCTTACTTTTGAAGTTACAGAACAAGTCCCGGTGCTTTTGGGACACTTTATGTATACTTTACGCCGAATAAGCGAACCTGAAACTTAAATGCGTTAACTTCCGAAAACCATATATAATCCAACGAGAATAAATAATTGGTACATAACAGCTTTCTTGTATGCAAAGAAAATAATTAAAAATGTTAAAAAAGAGATGTCAACACAAAATTACATAGCCCCTTCAATTCAGAAGATACTACAAACGAACTGTACCTTAACATTTTCATATCCCAGAAGCTAACGTTCCCATGACGAATATTGCCATCGCTAGCGATTGCAAAATCCAACTTGTTTCTCTTACCTGTTGGTTAGCAAGAGCCCAGTAAATAGGTACTGGGATGTACATCGGAACCACTCGGAATACTTCTCGAATGTCTTTCAATAATTGTTGGTCGAATTTGTCTTTAGCGTATTCCAGCCAATGAGATGGTTTTTCTGTCACATCGCTCGATGAAAGTTTTTTTCGTAAAGCATACTGTTGGGGCAGAAACAAGTATTAGGTAAGAAATATGGACCAACATATGCTAATAAAGCACGAAATGCAATAAAATGACAGCAATAGGTACAAAACTACGATCATATTTTACATCAGTCTACAGCGCTTATAACGTCGGATTTATGAGTTATGTTTTACCCGATGGAATATTGATTCACGTGTGTTGTGAGGGGAGGTTTGACAGATGCTACAGGCCACACGCTATAGCGAAAAAAGAACCTAGGATAGGACCGAAGATATTTTTTAAAAATGTTGATTTTTTCGTGCGGCATTTTAAGTATATTTACTACTTTCTACCCCTTTTGATTATGAAAAATGCAATGTATAATGGAAAAAAAATTTACGAGCTCTCTTTTTTTCGGTCAGCTGAATTTTTTTTGACGTTCGTACATTTTTACTATATAATATTCATTGTACTTGTTAGAGACGATTGAGGCAACTAGTTCATTAAAATTAATTGTCCGCAGGTAACAAATAACGGAAAAAGTAAGGAATACTGACTCAGCTTTAATAATGCTTAATTTAAAACGAATAGTTTCCACGAACGAATAGTTCGGAATAGATTCCGATTTGTCTGGTTTGAGTGATAAAATATCATAAATAAATTATAAATGGAGCCTTAAGGAAAGCGCATAATGCCAGTGAAAAAAACTGAGGGCATGACACCAACGATATGTACAAAATGGGCTCTTAACGTTGTTTATCAGTGCAATCGAATCTGTTGGAGCGCCGTAAAATTTATTGTGTTTTTCTAATACATAACAATTATTCACGCTTTATGTGTCTGTTTGTTGCATATGCAATGAATTTGAAGGCGAACTTTAAGTGGACGGTACCTGCCAATAAGTTTGTACGCATGGTCTATTGGTTCTATCAGAGGTTATGGAGGGAGATTATAATGTAAGGCTCTTGAATAGATAACTATTCGCGCTCTCCTGGATGTTTCTTGCCTATGCAGCAAAATTGAAGGCGAATTTCAGGGGAAAAATGCCTGCCTGTAGGTTTGGTTTCAAAGGATGTCCCTTGTATTCATGGAATATGGAGTAGTGTAGTTTTTGAATGGAGAAATACTAAAATAAGTCGAGACTCACCGAAATACACTTCATCGTGTCTAAAAGAACATTCCCTTTCGGTTGTTGCATCCTATACCAAGGTTTCCCCGACACAAATAATCCTGAAAAATTAAATTCAACAAAATAGGTGCTGAGCTGAAAAAGTAACCATTTGCATGTTTAAGAACCACTATTTCCTGAACTACCCGAATAAAATGGAACTACTTTTAATATCATTGTCTTTAAAACATTGCAGCCAAGACAAATGATGGACCTTTGCATATTTCAAAACTTCAATGCCAACTGTGACTTTGCCGGCTGAAGTATAATTAATACTCACTCCATTTAGTTGCAATCTTAAATCCGCACACGTGGTGTTAGATATTGTGTACTCATTTAGCATAGCTAACTCTTTGAACCTCTCGGCGCAAAAAACACCCGAAAGAAGCAAAATCGTAGTTTTCATGGTTCGAAGTTAGTACATAAAATAAGTAAGTAGCTTTGAGAAGGAGGATTTTGAAAATGTTCCTACAAATGGAAACGGGGGAGGGGCTCTTGGGGATTCATCACTTTCCTCAGGAACATTATTAATTTGAGAAAGCAACACCCTTTTCCGGCTGTTGATGTTTCCGCTAGGTGACTATATAACTTATGACAAATGAAGAAAAAAACACCAAGAAGTGGCCCGAAACTGTATGTAACAAGGTAGAGAAATGGTGCTGGGTCCGCACCATTTCGCGAGGAAATCAAAGCCAAGGAGTTTCAAAAATTAAAATCAGAGTCAAAATTAATTTTTTTTTTTTTGAGCTCTAATGCGCACCAGTACGAAACTGAGGGGGAGAGTGTTCAGCTCAGGCAGTTTGCATAGGAATATTAAAACAGGAATATATGTGATCTACTGATGAGGTCTAAAAAGGCCCAAACCGGTATAGACCTCTCGACGTGACTCCAACTTAATATTCCTATGCAAACTGCCTGAGCTGAACACTCTCCCCCCTCAGTTTCGTACTGGTGCGCATTAGAGCTCAAAAAAAAAAAAATTAATTTTGACTCTAATTTTAATTTTTGGAACTCCTTGGCTTTGATTTCCCCGCGAAATGGTGTGGACCCAGCACCATCTCTCCACCTTGTAACTTATGACATTTAACTGAACTCAAATACGAGCTTATTTCGCGCCGGATCCATGCATTCAGAGTAACAGGTGGTCAAAATAGCAACTGCGTAAGCGTGAATTTCGCGCCGGGATTTATAACAGCGTACGATAATTGAACGGCCCCTTTGGGGGTATCTCACCGAGAGCTATGAACGTGAGTAAAGCTGGAACCCCAAAGGCGAGCGGCCAGCAGGACTCTTGACCGAAGCATTTGAAGTCCTGGCGTAGGATAGGGGTCGTAATGCAAGCTGTGAGTGCCGCCACGTTGATCATGAAATAAAAAATTGCGAAGAAGTTGGCCAGTTGCTTTGCTTGTTGCGGCAGAACGAACTGCTCCCCGCCGAAAGGATTCACGCACGGTCTCAGCAGACCAGACCCTATCGCCGCCAAGGTTAGTCCAGATAGAGAGAATACTCTATAGTGTATAACAGATCAGAAAACGTAAGAGGAGAATCCAGTACCTATATTTCAGGATAAAATTAGCAGGTTCAAAATTTCACCATTGTGTAAGCCACATTGGAGTACGTCTAAACATACATGGAGGGAATGGTTATCCGTATGTTTTCGACACAGGAACGTTTCGTCATTTCTCCCGCGAAAGAAGGTAATTACATTCCAATGTTTCCAAATCTCCCCTTGCTTGGAAATTGCCAGGAGCATTTTTACCAGGAGAATCTTGGACTTTTCTAACTGAATAATTTCACAGATTTTTCATGCAAAATTCAAACAAAAATTTCATAGGTAAGTTCTTGTGAAAGATTGGGGTTTTTCAGTCAATTTTGCAACCTTGAAATGGATTTATGTTCCTTCGAAGAGGGAAAGACTAGTTGCGCCGATATTCCTCTGATCTACGCCAAGAAAAAGTAACCCTAAACAAGCGAATTTTTGCAAGTGGATTTGATCGACTTTTTCGATCAAAACCCAATGAAGAAGTTTTTTTCCCCCAACTCAATCCACTAGTCTCTTGAGCTCGTCAATTACCGGTGTCTGATCCAAATCCAAAATTCCTCGACTCACCTTCGGGAGGAGGTCAAAAAGTGGATGAAAGTAAACAGTTTCACCAGGAACATTGGCATGTCACAGAATTATTAGAAGATGACAAGCTGAAACGAAATGAATTTAATGCAGATACCTGGAAGAGATAATCCATGGCGTTGCCGCGAGTGCTATGATCACGGTTCCTGTTGCGTGCACTGTTGATGAAAATATAATAGTTCTGTAACGGAAAAGTACTCGTTTTAAAAGAAAAAATAATAACAACAAATTTTTAATTAAATGAGAGAGTGCCAACTCCTTAACGGGTTGTGAGAGGACCGAGCGCTGTGGCGGTTAGGCGTTGCAGAGCGCCAGAGAGCGCTGAGAAAGCGACTCTCATGAATGTATTTAATAGCAAGAATAAAATTTACGTAATGACATTGACATATCAGCAAGTCAGCAACATAGTTTTCCTATATTTAAACCTATTCCTTATGTTCTCTATTGGATCATGTGCTTAAAGAGGAATCCAGGAAGAGTGGCGAGGCGTGAATGATCGATTATCGATATTTCTCCATTTGAAGCTATGGTAAAGAATCGATCTTTGAAGTGTTCGCTGCGAACACCCTGTTATCTTTTACCATTGGTTTAAATGGCAGGTCAATCGATATATCCCAAAGCACGCCACGCCACTGGATGAAGCAGCATGCTCGCTTCTCATACGCGTTGTTTACTCCACTTTACAGACTTTACAGAGTCTTTAACAGTTTTGAATTTGATTCTGTTATAGTTTTTTATTTAATGCGATTGTTGATAATCGTTTTGTTGTTCCGCTTGGTTTAAAAGTCAGAACATAATAGGTAAACACCTGTGAATGTGAAAGAACTAACTCAAGAATCCCACAGAAATTTCATTGACCATGAACCGCGCACTCTCGTTTAGGTTGAAAAAGGTTTAATTCCAATCAAGAAAAAGAAAACATTAAAGTGTCGTACTTATACTTCCCTATGTAGACATCCGCCAAGATTGCACCAAATACTGGGAGCAGATAGCGAAAGAAACAAAATATGTGGTAAATTGTGATAGCGTCATTCTCTGAGTAACTTAAAGCGTTCCGCAGATAGAGGACCAAAATGACTGAAAATTTCAATACCGCACGTAAATGAATGTTTGAATGAAAAGTGTAGAAAAATTTGCAGAAAACACCAGCATAAACTAAAAGTAGATATTTATCGAGAGGGTGGGGGCTCTAAGGTCAATATTTTTTCAGGAAGGGAAGGGGTCCTTAGAATGTCTTTAAATTTTTAAGCGTGCCAGTAGGGCTCGCTTTTTGAAATCACTCGGATGTACCATAGTACAGCACACCGATCAACCAATGCTATTCAACGGGCCGTCCAAATATTTTTTTCCTCGGACCCGTTTTCTTGTCTTTGAACCATTATACTGTCAAGCCCTGATGGTCTCTTACCAAAAAACCGACTGAACTGCTAATTGGGAACCCTTAAGAACATTTTCCTGTCAAAACCGTATTATTTCATTTGACAAAAACCTCATAGAAGCTTTCTTACGCTGGGAGGACTCAACTCTAGAACCTTCTTTCCCGCCAAAACTGTTTAGCCAATGAGCGTCTGGCACTGCAAGTGCAATCTGTGATGAGCCTCGTGACTCTTTATACCATGTACTAACCGTGGCCCCTGCAGAAATCCACTCAAACCACTGCAGTTATCTCCCGATATAGCTTTGGGTGTCAGGTTTCGAGCAAGGCAATAAAAGACGGCGAGGAGAGGGTCGCCTCGTCGAACCTATTATCTTCCACGCCCGATTAACCATTCACCGTGACGCCAGGATCCACCAAATTTTCACAAAAATTGTTTTCCGTCTATTTAGCGAGTTTTTCCTTACTTTCCGTTAAAGTACAAATAAAAAGAGACCTCATTTGTAAAAATCGGCCGAATAGGAGAGAAGTTACAGTTCGAAATCCAAAAAGATTAACTCAACGCGATTTCGATGCACGGCAGTTCGCTCAAATCACGGTCGTGCGAAATGCCGCATATCAGCTTAAAATCAAGATAATTGGACGGAATCTTTAAAATCAATTTACATTCAACGTTCATGAATCAATATTTTCTCCCAAATTTAGCAAAAAGTACCAATTGATGCAAATAACAAATTCGTGAAAATAGTAGGTATGTGTCCAACATTTTAGTTATTCGGCACGCTTTTCCAACATATTCATGTTGGATTTTTCTGCTTGTTTTAATATTGATATACTTGTGTCAGTAACAGGAGAAGACATCAAAGATCAATATATTACCTACAGCAGATAGGACTTTGTCCTCTGCTATCTTATGTCTGACACAGTTGCAACAATCGCCCCACTTACAAACTTTGCCTTACTATACATACCACTATTGCACCAATGGGCTCTTTTCTGCCTATCTCACAAATTGAGGGCGGAATAGAAACTCGTTGTTGACTTCATTAGTGGGAACCAACGTTTTTATTGCTTCCTTTTAATTGAGTAAATTTTTAATTTTTTAAACATCTGAATGTAATATTCAATGGACTGTCACACGAACACTGCCGTGCTAAGGAAAAACGCCGTATGAACTTTCGAGAGTTGCCAAATTTTCTTCGATAAAGTGTTCATTTTTGAGGGAAGATGTGAATATTTTTCCTTGAAATTTTCAGGGACTTTAGGTGAATTTGCGAGCAAAATTATCTGAAAAATCGGGAGGAAAATATTCATAAGTTTACCTGGAAATTCGTGTTTTATCGAAGGAAATTTGGCAACATCTAAAGGTTCATACGGCGTTTTTCCTCAGCAGGGCAGAATAGTAATCAAGTTTACTAACCTCTCATTCCATAATATGAATAACCCTCACAGAGCTCATTCCCGATGATGAAGAAAACGGACTTCGGATACTTTAGCGGCTACAAAAATTCACAAATACATTAATGAGTTAGTGAAGGGATGATAAAGGATTAGAAAAAGAAAATTGTTACGTTGGCCAGAATAGACTCATCTACGACCATTTAGTGGTTTTTAGCAGCTCTTGTCGTCAGGTAGCGCAATTGCGCAATAGATATGTCGCAGGCAAATAGAAAAATCAGGCATTTTGTCAAATGCCTAGGCAAATAGTCAAATATTCTAACTTAGATTGAAATTCTGATTCTTTTCCTAATTTCAGACAAAAAAATTTCATTGCTCCCGCAAGAAAACATTATCAGTAAAAATTTGCGCATGCAATAGTATTTTAAACAATTTTAAGCTCCTGGAGAGACACTGATCTTGAAATTTTTATAATGTCGTAAAATACAGAATTTTCGAAATTTCAACAGTTAAAAATATGAGAAAGCAATTGAAGAGGAAGAGACAAAAAGAGTTCGTAGGTTTGATAAGTTATTTTTCACAAAATAATGAAAAATCGTGAGCTCTTCGCCATTAATTCACAAAATTTTGTAGACTGTCAAGATTTGACTATCTGCCTAGGCATGTGACAAAATTCCTGATTTCACTATTTGCCTGTGACAGATATATTACCATCAGCTAATGTTATCTCCCCGTTTCAAATCCATTTTTTCTCGAAGAACCAAACCGAGACCTTCTGTCCTCTTCCCAACTCATTTATAATCAGATTTTTAGGTTTTCGGCTACTCATATGCGAAAAAAAGGCTGAGCCATTTGCCGACTTAACAAATATAATATGCAATGATTGCTACTCAGGTCATCACCTTCCAGGCAAAGTATCACAAGCGCCATGCGACGTTTAAAAATTTCCGCCGCCATTTTATTTTTTTACTGAGAAATTGTTGGTTGAATCTGTTCGAAAATTTCACTAAATTTTATCGGCAGCACAAAGAAAATTCGGTGTAATTTTCGGACAGCTTCGTTGAACAATTTCTCTGTAAAAAAATATAATGGCGGCGGAAATTTTTAAACGTCGCATGGCGCTTGTGATACTTTGCCTGGAAGGTGACGAGGTCATGCTTTAATAAAAAAAAACAATGTGCAAGAAGATGTTAATATATTTACAATTTTACCTCTACATGATGGACACGCAAACGTTTCGACCAAACAGTTTGGTCTTCATCCGTGCAAAGGAAAGAATAGACAATAATAAAAAATACTGGCAAGATGCATAATAACAGAGAAAAAGGGAAAAGTACCGCAAAACTGCTACATGCTACATGTTAAGGTATAAAATTGTAAATATATTAACATCCTCTTGCAGATTGGTTTTTGGCGCGTATACGTAGTATACCGCCTTTGCGATCGTTTCGACCCCCCCCCTCGATACAATAACCGAGTCCCCTAGTTCCTTACCGAAAAGTGACTACCGCGAACTTCTGAGATTTTCCAAAGCGTGTAAAAAGTTTACTAATCCGTCAATAATAATGATTAAAATTTGTTTCTCATTCTGGGGCTCGCTAGTTTATGTGTAATGAATACCAAGAGTCTACGTTTCTTGGTTTTTTTTAAAAAAACCTTAGAATGGGGCGCGCTGATTTAAAATATGCATATATAAGCGGAAGCAAGCGAACTGATTCGAGGATGGCTGACCAGTTCGGCACTCCTTGAATGAGAATTTCACTCACTCCGTTTTGTTCACAACGTTGCTTTGACATATCTCCACAACACTGTTATCCTTTTCAAAAGTTGGTACTCCTTGCTCTGATAGCCGGGACCACCAGGATAGTGGTAAGTGCAATCTGTGATGAGCCTCGAGACTCATTAGACCATTTGCTAAACGTGGCTCATACAGGAATCCACCTATCCCTCTGTTCCCCACGCTCCTGATCACTGCGTCGGCGTCACGAAGAACAATGGGCCTTGGGTCCCAACGCGGCCGATACCCGTACCCCAATTACTCACGCTTCATTAACCATTTCACCGTCACGCTAGGATTCATCCAATTTTCAAAAAAAATTGTTTCGCATGTATTTAGCAATTTTTTCCTTACTCTCCGTTAAAACACAAATAAAAAGAGACCTCATTCATAAAAATCGGCCGAATAGAAGAGAAGTTACAGTAATCGAAATCCGAAGAAATCAACAAAACCTCGACTCCTCGATACGAAAAATAAAATGAAGGGGAAAAAAAGAAAGTATAAATTACAATTAAATATAATTGACCTCAAAATTTGACAAACAATTCATTTATATACCTAACGCTGAAAAAACTGGGAGAAATTACAAAAAATTTGCCTCTTGCAAGGGGCTTCTTTGTAAGAATTTTGACCTGAAGACAACGGTCGAATAACAGCAGTACTCCATACAATACACGGTGTGCCTGAACGAGTTAAACATTTTTCATACGTCCAAATCGAAAAATCTTTATATTTTTAACTACAATGTTTCTTGAATCGTTTAAGCAAAAAAAAAAAAAAAAAACCGTCGAGATTCTGGAACGCAAAGGCGCTTTAAAAGTATTCTGGGGCTATAATAGCTAAATCACCGGTAGTAAATTCGTTATATTATTAAAAAGAAATTGACACCATAGTTTAATTCCTTAGTTTCTTGAATACGATTATTTTAAGCACTTAAACATTTATACCACCAATTTTAGCCATGGGGTGATTTCCTGAGAGCCGATAATATCACGAATTTCTCATAGAACCCCTCAACAGTGGCTTGCTTTTTTGGCAGCCGATTCGGCCATCGAACCGGAGTTTAAATGGAAGCTGATAATAACCCAAAGCTCTGAGAAAAATTTTGAGATGAGTATAAGAACGGTTTGTTGTAAGTAGCGAGGAGAGGCGGGCAAAGCGGCTAAAATCCTATCTAATTTTTACAGTTTTTCTGTTGAATTAATGTTGCCGCGGGCTTCTGACTGTCCACACATAGTTCTGTTCAGCATATCGATACATAAGTATTTACATTTTACATACGTAGAATCTAATTTTCACGTCGGGGAGTTGACATATTTTGATTTTTTCGATTTTATACGGAAAATTGATGGTTTTTCGGGATTGAAATTATTATTGTTTCATGAAAAATAAATGCACCCAAAATGACTATAGCATATTGATTCTTACACATTTGCACTCACAAAATTGGTTGGTAAATTCAACGAGTGGGTGCATCGACCTGGTATATCAAGTTTCTGCAATTTTTTACGGCAAATCAGTAGATTTTCGGGATGTAGATTGCTTACTTTCAATTCATGAATGAATAAAGCAACGACATGGTTGAACTTCTTTGCATGGAAAGACGTTTAAAATAACAAAATCAAGACGTATTTAATGCAATTGCATTTATATCGAGTCAATTTCTTTTCAATAATATAACGGGATTTTTACTACCGGTGATTTGGGTATTTTAGCCCCAAAATACCTTTAAATCGACTTTATCTTCTAGGAGTTCGACAGAATTTTTCCTTTCTTCGCTTAAATTATTCCGTAGCACTTTTCTTCAAGAATCTGATAAGATTTTGCTTGAGGCAGATCAAAAAACTTAAATTCGATCGAATAGCTTTCTACTTTCACAATACACGGTCTCGTCAAGGTGCGTCTTTGACCTCGCAGTGTTGGATCGTGAATTCTCTTTTTATGCTGTTTGCCTATTTTGAAATCTCTGTAAGTGAAAACTAAAGGGGTTGATATGTGCGAGTTAATGACGCGCCTTATCAACACATTGTGTTGGAGTTCACTGCTTGTTTTATTTTTTTTTTTATTTTTTTTTTTTTTATTAAAGCCATGGCATGGCCTGAGTAGCAATGGACCACTTGACAAGGCACGAATTTCAGCATTCTGATATATGCTTCTTAACCAAACCTCACCTCTCCACATAACCAGCTCGATCCAAGCAGGTCTGATTCTGAGACTAAGAGAACAGCTTTTGGATACCACGCGTGTAGAAGTCTTTCGACTGGTTCGGGATGAAAGTGTTGACGGCTTGTTTGACCTCTTCCACTGATTCAAAATGAACTCCCCCGAATTCAAATTTCAGATAAGGGAATAAGTGGCGGTCTGTATTGCCATTTATTACCGTATCTAAAATCTGAACTCGGGGGAGTTCATTTTGAATCAGTGGAAGAGGTCAAACAAGCCGTCAACACTTTCATCCCCAGCCAGTCGAAAGACTTCTACACGCGTGGTATCCAAAAGCTGTTCTCTTAGTCTCACAATCAGTATCAGACCTGCTTGGATCGAGCTGGTTATGTGGAGAGGTGAAGCCCCCTATTTTACAAAAACTTCTTTGATTTTTCGTCAGTGATGAACGACTGAAGCGTTGGCAGAGAAGCTCTTCTCTTGTCGCGGACTTCAAATCTCCGCGGATTCGGCGGGAGCGGCGTGCACCTCGGCGCGTTCAAACGGCTCGCGTTCGGCCGCACATGGTCCGATTTTGTTGCGGTTTGTTTGGTTGAACTCAGTATATCCTAAGAAAGATTTTAAGCCCAAGTTTTTAAAAATTGGTCCATTCCTATTGATTTTAGAGAGGGGGGATACTTACTTATTGAACGCCCGTCGTAGTTCCTTCAGCATGAATACGTCCAATTTGTCATTATAAGTATTTATATACTCTACTCTCCTGTTGAAGCATGCCCTTCCTGTATGCGAGCCGACGCATTGCGACAATGCTCGTATAACGGTGCTCCTCCAAGAAACTGTCACTCACAATGAACTGTACAAGCGCAAATTAGACAGCTCTCAAACATACTCGCTCCTATCAATGCACACTAGGTACACACATAAGGGCGTGCCAAAGCAAAAACTGCTGGCTTGTGATACGCGTTACAATTTATTAAAAAGCTCAGTGTAAAATAAAATTCAATTACAAGTTTTGCCATATCCTGATCAGACTGTATTGTAGTTTATCGCTCCTGGTGAGGTGAAAGTTTATCAACTTCAATTAACACAGACAACAACTTACCTCTTATCTAATTTTCAACGGTAATTCAGATTTGAGAAATACTCTCAAGACTAGGTTCCAACGCGGTATATTGAACAGTGGATCAATTGCAATTTGATCTTAAAGACTTCAAGGAATTAGTGAGTTTTTGACTCGAATAAAGTTTTTATTTTCGTAAGTAGAGGTGTTCTCGAACAATAAGATTGTAAATTTTGAAATGCTGAATCTGTAACCCGAGAAGATTGAAATCATGTAATCTATAAAATGGCGATGGAGTCGGGTTGAAAGAGCCCTTGAAGTAGAATCATCAGTTGTTCAACATATCGTATATAAACCGACTTTGAGACGAAAATCGTTCACTTTTTGACACGCAGCGCCTTTTAATAATCTTGCGAGTGCTGGGCCAAAATTCTAAGGAATAATCTGCAATATCACTGATGTTAAGGTTGAATGCATCATTTCTTATCCGGCAACTACCTACACCAGTGCAGGCATTTTTACTTCTCTCAAACTTACGATTTACTATTCTCTACCTTTAAGATGCTCTTGAAGGGTTTTTTTTTTTTTTTTACAATGTTTAAGTATTTTTAGCAAGAAATTACGCAGGACTTATCATTCAACCCCCTCGTTATATTTATCTTACTTTATTTTTTATCTACCGCAAGGGTCATTCATTTCGCCTAACTCCATCATAATTGGACGTGTTTCGGTCAAACGGAACTATATGGATTAAAACATGAGCCTTGATGAGCCGCATGAACCTAAGAATATATGCATAACAGGGCTCACGTCATAATTCACATAGTTTCGTTTGCAGAAATACGTCTAATTGAATCGTGCGTCGTGCGAAAACAGCTAATGTCCATTTTTTCAGCCTTTAATTTTTTTACGTCGATTAAGATTTGATAATATCATGAAAATGTTGCCAATACTAGTTTTATTCGGGATGATGATAATCCCAAATCAAGTTTTAACACCGCTTTCATGGTTGCATTTGGACTTAATTTTGCAACTAGGAACTATAAATTCTGGCTCATCCAAAAAAGCACGTATGTGCATAAGGAAACTAATGGTTCATACGTTGTTTTTATGCTGAGTCATCAGGATTTATAGTTCCTAATTGCAAAATGTAGTCCATTTAACTCTAAGAAGTATTATCAACCCAAAAAACTCAAGACAGGAAAAGTGGACATTAGTGGTGTTCAGACGACACGATTCAATTCGTACCTATATTAATAGGAAAAATATGATGGAAAAAAGTCACTATATAGGAAAAATATATAGTCAAGTATATAGGAAAAATATGATGAATGATGGAAAAAGTGTACCTGTGTGACGCTCTCCACTTGAGCGTCTGCTGCAGTCATGTTAAAATTTGAAGACCGGTGCAACTAACACAAATATATTTATTTCTAGTTCTTACAAAGAATAAAACAAAAAAATATCAGAGCCAAACTATACAGAAATTTTTTAAAACGTATGAAATGTACAGTTATGCAAAACATCAATTTAGAAATTAATTAGAGAAGAAAATCTTGATATTATTATTTTTCAAAACTAACACAAATACCGCAAAAATGATCGTTTTCTATTCCTTCGGCGTCGAAATTCCGAACACGTTTGTGGAGGGACATGCTCTTTTTACATCCGAGCACTACGGATAGCAATTAACGAATTTTATATTTCATCAGACAACTCTTTAAGGTCAATTATATCTATCAGCTATCTAAATTCGGTTTAATCTCCCACTTTGGTTGAGGTTGAGTTTGAAATTGTCTGAAGTGGATTTAAATCCGCACCGGACCGCGGTGTGAATGGTGTATGAGAGGGAGAGGATGTGTGTGTGTGTGTGACTATGATTTTAAGTACGTCCTTACTTCAACTTATGCGTATGTGTAACGTTTGACATGTGAATTGTCGAATTCGGTAAGGTACATTGTTTTTAGAATGACTTAAGAATCATAACAACGATGAAAATGGTGTATCATCATTGCAACGTTTCAAACCTCCGCTTTTATTGTATTTTCCCGAATATAAAAAGGTGAATCTTCATAGAGCGACTCGAAGTAAGACGCGAAGAAGTAAATAAACCACAAAAAACCCTCAAAAAGGGTAAAAATTCCGCCTAGCCTGTGAGATCTTATCACAAAATTAGTAGGTATTTATCTAAACAAATTTTAAAAAATGAGAGGAGGGGGATAGTAATCTCTTGAAAATTACAAAAGGAGAAAAGAAAAACAACCCAAATCCTGTTTTCCATTTCAAACCTCAAAATGTCTGATATCATTTGAGGTCTAGATTTTTTAAGTAAAGGTTCCTACGCCCCAGAACTACAAAGAGCAAATGGACAGTTAATTCTGCTGAGAGTCCCCTTCAGTTAGTTTAGGACGCAACCAGCTTACCTTTGAAGCTAGTTTAGTTGCCGGGGTCACCAATACAAGGAAAGATAATTCGATTTTTTTCCTACTAGAAGATGGCGAGGGATAAAACAGGCAGTTCTTTTTTCAGTCTCAGACCTCAAAATATTTGATATCTTTTGAAGTCAAGATTTTTTTCCATCTCCTCATCTCACTTTCATTTTCGTTTTGCACTTTAGGAAACAAATTCCACTCTCATACATCATTGAACTTTCTTTAATTTTTCGCTAATTATTCGCCTTCATTTCAGGTAGCCGCAACTCTTCATACCTACAATAGCTATGTAAGGAGCCATTGTATAATACTTACGAGACCTTCCTCGTTTAGATCAAGAATAGAATAAATATTTTCGATTCAGATTCTGGCACACGCTTTGAAAATCAAAGAAAGAAGTCAGGTAGATGAAGGTAGAATTTTTAAAAAGAGCCAAAAAAATTTAGCTAAAAAATAAACGATTCTGGCGAGACGGTCCCGATACTCTTGGGGGGGGGTGGTATGGCTGAAAGGGTAGTGCCAATAATAAGGGTAGTAGAGCGAGGTTCAAAATTGCCGAAAAATGGAAGTGCATATTTTTGCCAGTTCGAGTCGATTTTTCTTTCTTCCTATTCACTACTCGTCATTTTCATGTCACCTAGGTTCCTCAAAATTCAGAGACGGCTAATTACTGTGAGCGTCAGGCGGAAAAGTCATAAATAAATCATAAATTCGACAGTCAACTCCTTCGTTTTAAGTGAACGAATGCATTTCTGAATAAGTCTTTGGGATCTGCCACGAAACGATTTTGATAGGCTAATTGATGATATCAGTAATCTTTGTAGGTAAGGCTTAAAAAATACTTAAAAGTTGAGCATAAGAAAATTCTAATATCAGAGTTCTTGTTTATTCATAAATAAAATAGTTTACATAACAATGTACCTACTAAAAATATCTGACAAGACACATTTCTATGATGCTCCTTTTCAAATATTTCCACTGACTGATCTACTTTTCTAAAGAGAAATAGAAGGCCCTTCGGTAGGTGTGCAGACATTGTAAACATTCCTGATGAATCTGGACACAAAAATTGTATTGTTACAAATTTAGAGAGTAGGTAATGTGCAATGAATAAGTAAAAAACACATTTTTTTTGCGAATATCAGATTACCAAGAGTATTGTGAGCACAGAAATCTTTGATCGTGATGATTTTCGTGCCATTGCCTCTCAATAATTGCGTTTAACAGAAAGGAGGTAAGCCACATTGAACACATTTTTTACAATTGAACGTTTGTGAAGATTCCTTTGAAGATTTTAAGGAATTTGCTTCGTACTATGCAAAAAATTCCCTGAAATTTGCACAAAAATCTGGGCAACCGTTTTCATGTAAAAAGTTAAATTCTCCAGTTAAATGTGGCAAGGGCTGATGTGGCTTGGCTCCTTTTTTTTCAACGCGGTCCAATTCTGCTGTTCTAAGAGAGAACGCGCCGTACGAACATTCGAGGATTACCAAATTTTCTCTTCGAAAATATTCATTTTTGAAGAAAGTTGCCAATATCTTTCCTTGCAATTTTTAGAATTTTTAGATCAAATTTCAAACTAAATCACCTACCTGAGAAATTGGAAGAAAAATATCCGCAAATGGTCTTGAAAATTCGTGATTTTCAAAGGACATTTGGCAACGCGTGAGGGTTTATATGGCGTGTTTCCTTAGCACGGCAGAATTTATCCACACGGTTTTATCCCTTTTTCTGCAATAGATCCATCAGTTTCTTTCTAAAGTAAAATATCCTGCAGAACATTTTCCATCGATGAATCAAGCTTCACGTCCGTATTGTAGCAGGTCCATTCAGATTTGTAACGCTGTGTATTCATTGCCCACGCAAAACCTCCGTCGATGAAACATTCCGCGAGCCAAAAGCAATGCTCCAGATCATGCTGTCCGCTTAACCCCGAGTCTTCGCGAAGCGTTTTCTTCAGCACCTGCATTTTTGTCATCTCCTTGTTCTAGGTGGCGGTAGCCACCCCGGCCCAATCCTAAAAAACTCCCTCTAAAAAATGACGACCCAAAAAAAAAAAAAAAAAAAAAAAAAAAAAAGACGGGTGGCTGCTGCCTAACTAGTTTTACACGAAACAACGCGACCGGGCTTTTCTGCACGGTTTGCGGTCCATTAAGCTCTCCTACTAATTAAGTCGGAGAGTAAACCCCAAAAACCCTATAATATTTGGGTAGAGTATGCTCAGCTCTACTCGTAATGCCCACCCTTTTTAAGTTTAGTTAAATATTAAAAAAGTTATTAAACTTTAACGACAAATTTTGGACCCCAAAACTTGACGATCGTTTTTGACGACATGGACCCCAAAAGCTGACACTGATGGAATTGTTGATGAGCAGAGAGCAGATACGGGGCCCGCGAAACGGTCGGCCGCGGGATTGACCATCGTGTTTAGTTCACTGACATTACAGCTATACCGTAGAAAAAAACCCCATACAAGTATAGATATTTTGAATCAGCGTTAAATAAACTACAACTAATTTTTTGGAAATTTCGTATTGTTGAGGTGTAATCGAGAACAATTAATAATTAAGTCGTTTATTGCTGTTCTGAAATCGGATCTATTGGCATAGCTGTGGAGGTAAGGGTAGCATAAAACCCATCAAACTGGGTATAATTAGAATCTGTAAACTCCAAGGATTAAACCTTTGAAAAGTTTGCGAACTTATATGGGCGTCGAAAGGAGAATTTATTGAAAGAAGGAGCGGGTCCTTCAATTCTTCAAGCACATTTGAATTTGAAAATAACTTGTAGAACCGCGCGATGGATGGTGAGCGCCGACTCCAGAGGTTAAATTTCAGGTTATGCTACTGTTATTATGGCTTTAAATATTTAATTAATACGAAGAAGATAGATTAATTGAAATAATAAGATGAAGATAGATTAATTGATGCGTGTTTCCATTTTATCGTAGCCGAAGATAACTGGATCCATTTCTATATAATCCTTTTATGATTCCCACACCCTTACTATGAGCTGTTACCATGTGCTGTTACAGTAAGTACCTACTCAGATCGCAACCTGCCATTTCTTCCCAGCGGCCCGGATCTAGTGATCTTGACAAGTAATTGTTTATGAATAATTGATGATATTAGTGAGTCCTAGATACTATTTCTCGTTAATCAGATTCAACAACTATCCACCAGAAAATCATCCTTTCCCTCAATACGATGATGTCTGTCGGGGTCTCAATTTGTGGGGATGAAGTTGTGTTTCCACTTTCTCCTAAAATTTTGCTAGCAGCCGAACTCCTCTGGAGTTGATGTGTCTCTTCTCAGTGTATCATGCTATCGGTGCATAAAGCCTCAATGTTTTCATAGACTTGTAATGCTCTATATTGGAAACGCGGTTTACGCATTCACCAATCAGTTGTGCGTATGTGTCTACCCAAAGAAGCTACGCAGCGCTCCGTTAATGAAATCAACTCAATGTCACAACATCCAAGATACTTGACTTTAAACATTACCGTTAATTTGATTATTAGCAAGTCTCTTGGATTCTGTGTCAGAAGTTGATTGAATCGACTAATTTGCCTGTGTTGGGATAAAATTCTTCTAATAAAGACCTTTCATATTGACCTCTGCAGAAGGTATGTATTCTATACTACTTTAATTCATTGGTTTAATAAAATTGATCTGCTAACTAATGCAGGCTATCCTTTATGATAACCTCTCTACCCATTGGCTAAAATTTGCAGT